TTCGAAGTCTTGGAGCAGCTGGCGTGCTGTGTTGGTATCCATGCTCGTAACGGATTTTGGTCAAACAGTCAAACAGCTGCGGCGCGAAAATCAGGTCAAATCTGTCAGGATGCAAAGGCAGAGAAGAAAACCAGTGTGGTTCCGCAAAGGACGGTTTTTCTTCTCTTTGTAAGGTGAAACCGTGTTGGAGGTGCAACCTCTTCAACATTGCAAGACCCTGACCTCGCTGAAACTCAGGAAAGGAAACTCGGTTGATCAGCGTGCGTCCGGAATAACATCCAGATTCCTTATGCATCAGTGGTGCGGCTGACTTGACGGAGAGCATGTTGTGCTTCTCATGCGAGGGGATGAAGGAGATGGTGCTGCTTGTGAGGTTCAGTCGGAACCCCAAGAAGTCCAGGGCGGCTTCTGTGTCCAGGAAGATGTCTCCTCCATAGAAGTGTTCGTCGCACAGTATGTTGGCTGCCGGAGTCGAGAGCCACCTGGGGGTTGCGATCACGAGTCTGTTGTCCACGTAGCGGAGTAGGAGAGTATCTTCAACGGAGCGAAGTCCCGATGTGATGTGAGTGTTGGTCCAACATTGTTCGGCGACCGCGATCACCATCAAACAGAGAGCTGGGGACGCGGGGGATCCCATCGGTGCCCCACGTGTTTGCCTGAATGAACGAAGGCCGACAGAGAAGATCTGCATGTCAAGGGTGGCCTGAATGATCTCGGGGATGTCGTCGAGCCACAGGGTGCGTTGTGTGGGTTTGTGTCGGCGACGGCGTCCGTTGTAGACGCGGGTGATGGCAGAGGTGTCAAGTGTGTCCACTGTGAGGTGTGTGGTAGAGGAGTGTGGTTGTCGTTGTCGGTACCAGGTTAGCAGTAGTCGCCAGGCGAGGAAGGGTGCAAGCATCGGTCTCGAGGGGCCAGGTGGAATGAGGCCCCGGAATTGTAAACTGGATCGAATGGCGGAAAGGCATGCCTGGTGGTGTGGTTCAGGCAGGTGTGTGGCTATGCGATGAAGGACATAGAGAGCGGCGGGTGGGAAGTCTCTGGTCCGTATGTAACGGATGGCATCAAATCGTCGTAGAGTGTTGCTGCCAAGATCGCCCAAAAATCGCCACAAATCCAGGCGGTTGTCCACGCGTTTGGCCAGGAAGGCCTGTTGTAGGGCGATGGGTAGTCGTAGTCGGCGGCGTTTTCGCCAGATGGTGGCGAAGCCCATGTGCCGGGATTGGGAGAAGTCCAATTGGCGTATGAAGCCCGTGCGTGGCCGGAAATGTTTCTCGATGAAGCCAAAATTGAGAGACGGTTGCAGTTCCTGGATGTAGAACTGTTCAGTGGCAAATAGGTCCGTTGCCGGAACGACAGTGTGAATGGGCACCGAGGTGTAGTGGTGGAAAAAGTCGAAATGTGCCCACCACCGGACTGCCAGTTCGGCATTGACCAGATGATGTCGCTGAACTTGGAGTAGTTTGCGAAGTTGGCTGCGGCCCCGTGCCATGAGGGAGGCGCGAGTGGCTCCGAGGTAGAAAAAGGCCTGCCACTTTGGATGGCTGGTGAATCTCAGATAAACCGCTGAAGGGACAAGCTGAGAAGAGAAATCGGAAGCAGGGTTGTCCAGGCCAAGTCGAGTAAGCAGGGCTTTCAGTCTGCCGGAACCACAGGAGAGATGGCAGACGTCAAGTAGCTGAAGCTGTGCGAGTAGCCAGGAGCAAGAATGACGTGCGGTGACGTCATCGGTTGGGAAGAACCGAAGAGTGAAACGGAGGACAGTGAGAAGTTGGCAGCAGTGGTGTTGCCAAAATTTGTGCTGCCTGGCTGTGCGTCGTTGTCGGTGTGCTGTTGAGAGTCACTGGTAGAAGTGACTCGCAGCGGCCAGGATGCGGCCCAAGGCCGATGACCCCAGTTTTGATAGGGTTCGCACCGGGATGCCCCATAGCACAGCGGCTCGTTCGAGTTGGGCTCTGGTGTCGGAGTCCAGTGTGGTTGCCCATTTTGCGCAGTCGTTGGACCAGCTTTTTAGGACTTGCTTGCTCTCTTTGCTGGTTTTCTGAGAGGTGATCCATCGCTGGACTTTGGTGTCGGAAATGTCGGGTGGGAAGTTGCTGGTGAGCCATTGGCAAACGTGGGGAGGTGGTTGGAGCAAGTCGCGGGGCTCCTTCCAAGTGGGTGGGGAGGGGAGGGGGGGAGGGGTCGGGGTGCCGCCGTGGGTGGAGGGGGCAGGAGGGTTGCCGCCGTGGGTGGGGGGAGCCGGGGGGGGTTGGGAGTCGTCTGCAATGCGAGTGGGCAGGGGTAGAGCGGGGGATCCGTCCTGCGGTGATGTGTCAGGTGTAGTCAACCGTGGTCGCTTTATGCCGAAGTCCAGGAGGGAGGCCTGAGATGGACGGGGGGAGGGGGGGGAAAGGGGTTGCCGCCGGGAGGGGGGGGGAGAGAGCCGCCAAAGGAGGGTGGACGAGGGCCGGGGTGTGGTGGGTAACGGGGAATAGGTTGGCCGTAGGTCTGACAGGGAGTCGGATGTGTAGCTGGCGGTGCCGATGCCGTGGAAGAGCATCCGTAGGAAGGCCCGGACAGGGCCCCGCACGGGTTCCCGGCCATGTTGTTGCCGTACACGATGCCATGATGATGGGATGCCGTGGGCGAAGGCTGCGGTGGTAAGTTTTGCCTTTGGAGCGCCGTAACCAAACCTCGAGGGGGTTGGAAAGCCATGAGAAAACACGGGGGAAAAGGAAATGTTCGAACCACAAGCTGGTGAGCGGAATCAAGCGGGTAAGGTCACAAGGTGAGAGAACGGTCGCGGAAAGGCAGAACAGCAAAGCAAAGAAAAAAGGCGATCAAACAGTGCACCAATTCTTTTCCTGGTTGGGTGGAAGATGGTACACTTGCGCCCCGCTAAGCCGGGCGCTGCAGCGCGATGCCTCTCAGCATCGCAAACTTGGAGTGAAGGCACCACTTTTTGCCTCGGCGGCATGCGAAGTGGCGCCGCACGTTGTGTTGATCCTCGTGGCTTCCCCCGGATTCGAGGATTTTGTGCTGATTGATGGAGCGTAGTTCCCCAAAAGCGATGGCGCCGAGTTGAGACTTTCCGATTGTAAAGTTCTGCAAGAGCTGGCCGAGCGTGTCGGGCGTGCATGCCGTGGGGGTGGCCTGAGCGTAGCATCCAAAGCTCGGGTAGTCATGGTTCTCGGGCCTCCAAGCAGCGGGTCGGATCATGTTCTCATGGCACATGCGGCGCACTCGATCCGGGGTGGTGCCGTGCACATACATGACAGCGTGATGGGAGGCCGTGCCGGATCCAGCTTCCGGGTCTCCGCCAGCAACTGGCCAAGGATGAGGTCGGGGAAACCAAGTGGTTGCGAACACCATGCCGTGTGATTCCCGTCCCAAGAGGTGGTAGAAGCTGGGATCGAACGGTATGGGATCATCCGTGTCCATGGTTCGCAGTTCCCAGCATTCCGCGAGGAGATCGGCATGTGAAGGTGGCAAAGCAGGGTCCAGGTCCATCAAAATGGCCTTAGTCTGTTCCACCCTGGAGATGTCCAAGGCTGGAAGCGGGTCCAGCTCCCCCAACTCCCTAGGCGTGGGAACTCGCAGCGGGTCAGTCTTGGCCGTGTCCATGACGTTTCTCCATAGATCAAGCCACCGGTTGTCGGAAGTGGTGGTGGCATTGATGTCCGCCTCCGATGGAGGGGGATCCAAATCACCGGTGTTGTCGAAGGGGGGTTGGGGAGGGTGAGGAGTAGCCGGCGTGGGTCGGGGAGGGGGAGGGGGAGTGGAAGTGAAGGCCGCCGCAGGTGCTGGGTGAGGGGGCAAGCTAGTGTTGTGGTGGCCGGTGCGGGAAGTGGGGTGGGGTTGCTGCCCATGGTGCTGCAGTGACCAGGACGGTCGTTTGCCCTGGTTGTTTCGGTGGCCGGTGTGGCTGGCGCCATGGTGGTGCATGTCCCAGCGGTTTTTGTTCTGTGGTGGGTATCCCCACGATTGGTTCCGCCAGTGTGAGGAGGACCATTGAGACTTGTTGGAATCCTTCCCGGAAGTGCGCCAGGAGGTGGAATCATGAGTAGTGTGAGTGGGTCGGTGCGAAGTCGTGGCTCTGGGTGCAGGGGAGTGTCGATGGTGGGACCTGTGTCGGGGGGAGCGGGAGCGGAGGGAGACAGTGGAGTGGTGTGCACGTCGGGAGTGGTGGAAGTGTCGGGAAGGGAACGTGACCTGCTGTAGCTGCGGGATCGTCGGGTGTCGTGTCGTCGGTGCGACTTGTTGTGCCTGCGATGGTGGCTGGTGTGGGAGTGGGAGTGTCGGTGCTGTCTGTGGCGGGAACGGGATCTGCGAGAGTGGGGATGGTGCCGAGTGTCCGGGGGAGGGTGGTTGGTTGAGGAGGTAGCGGCAGGAGCCGCAGCGGCAGCTTCGGGCGCGCGCGCCGGCTGAGGCTCGGGCGGTGAAGATGGCATGCTGCTCTGAGTCATGAAAGGCATGATGGTGCCAGGTGCCAAGTTGCCGTAATTGGGAGGGCCACCGTAGGGCATCATGGCCATCGGGTTGCCAAAGTTCGAGAGGCCGCCGTAGGGCATCATGGGGAAAGGTGTGAAGGATGCCGTCTGCGAGTTGGGTGACGGTACAAGGTTCATGGGCTGCGTCATCTGGGATGACAGCTGCAAGTTCGGTCCACAATTGCCTGGTGAGCCGGACGCGGTGCCGGTCGCAATGCTATGCAGGAGCGAATGCATCATGTCATAGAGCTGGTGTCCAGCCATCTCGCAAGGGAGAGAGAAGGTTGGAAAGGGGTGAAAACAAAACCACAACTGCGGCAAAAATGCGTCAATGGTGCAAATGCATGCGAGCCAACTTCAACCTGCGAATCGAAACCAAACAGAGGGAATTCCACCAGGGGACCGCCAAAACCCCGCGGCAACGGCAAAAGTTTCCACAGAAATGCATGCGAGCACAAAGGGGTTCTCAGAGGTGCCTGTCAAGTGGCCTCATGAAAGTGCCTCATGTGGCTATGCCGATGAATCTGAACTGAACTCATCCGAGACGAAAGCTTCCATAAACGCCACGAATCGCAGAGTTGGTGTATGACCAACTCGTCACTGGCGCATGAAGCTTAGGAACCTGAAACCTCGTGGGTGCAGCCTTGCTTCAAAGGCAGGCAGTGCAGGCAGTGCAGGCGCATGAAACCAGCAGAGCACCATTTGGGTGCGGAATACCTTAAGACCTCAAGCTGCAGCCTTGATCGTGGTCAAACGCGCTGAACTGAACTGCAGCTTGAACTTGAACACTTGAACGGTCTTCCCCTCGCAGGGGGCTCCCGCATATGGCGAGTCCAGCCCACAGCGCCATGTCGGACAGGCCGTGGGTAAACACACTTATCTCGAGAGGCTTCACTAGCCGAGATGCAAAACGCAGTCAGTAAAAATGCTTGAATGCAAATGCAAATCAACAGGTCACAACATCGACACCGAACAGGAAGCAACAGCGACAAACAGAAACCGCAAAAAGAATCAGGAAAGAGGGTCAGGAAATAGGCAGGTACGCCGGATTGATCAGATCCGGTATCCACCGAAATGCCGTAGCTTCATTGGACTGGATAGGCAAATCGGCTCCAGTCCCCCTGCAATGTGGAATTTCCGTCCGTGCTCCAGGACGCTTCACACACACACACACACACACACACACACACACACACACACACACACACACACACACACACACACACACACACACACACACACACACACACACACACACACACACACACACACCCACACACACACGCACACGCGCGTGCGCGTGCGCCCACGCGCTCCACGCACGCACCCACGCACCCACCCACCCACCCACCCACCCACGCACGCACGCACGCACGCACCCACCGACACACACACACACACCCACGCACGCACGCACGCACGCACGCACACACACACACACACCCACACACACACACACACAGACAGACACCCACCCACCCACGCACGCACGCACCCACCCACCCACGCCCACGCCCACGCCCACGCCCACGCCCACACACCACACACACACACACACACACACGCGCACGCACGCACGCACGCACGCACGCACGCACACACACAATTTCCTGCTGACACCAACCGGCATGGCGCCATGTTACTCATTTAGTGTCCCACTTTCACAAGACACTAAAGCATCACTCACCCTATTGATTTTTAAGTCAACCCTTGGGGTAAAAGCACATCCCCCAGGTCTAGGAACCCTTCAGCGTGGGCCAATTGTAGCCTTAAGGCTTGTTCGAAGTCTGCCCAGCATGGTCATGTGGCCAACAAGTTTGGCATACCAAGAACAATCCTACGCTTGGGACGCCACAAATGGTAGTGAGGTATTCTGAAGTCTGTTGCCTTTGGGGATGCTAGGCAGGCGTCGTAAAGTTTGGCTAAATGAACCGCCTCAGCAATCATGGGTGAGGTCGCAACGCCGCAACCCCCCGTGTGAGCTCGTCACAATTTTCTCTGTGGCTTCTGGAGCCCAAAACTTGAAACAAGTAGTCAAGCTGTTTTCGTCCGGAACATCTAGCCGGCCCATTGCGGAGCAGCCAACCAGCTTCGAAAAAGTTGCAGTGCGTTCATGTCAATGTAAACCTGGACCCGGCTGCCCTCTATGATTGAAGGTGTTGCGGGGTAAGTATCCATTCAGTTTTTCTCCGGGGAGAACAAGGGCCCCCAGCTAGTCTAACCAACTGAGGATCAGCCGAACTCTCCAAGAAGCGCCTGGATGGGTACTATTTAAACAAACAATTGATGCATTCGCCGCGCTGCCATTGCTAGACAAGGCTGAGCATCCTTGGCTCTTCATCAAGCTCCTTAGCCAGAGAAGTTTCAAACACGGAAAAACAGGGGGGGTGGGGTGTTGCTTTGGGGTACCCTCCCATTCACATGGCAACTGACACAAGGTATCCCCAGGAAGATGTCATGGTGGTTGGCTAGGACGACCACAAGACACAAAGAGCGAAACCGACTTGTCCTTTGGATGTAGACGGATAACCCAAAACAACGCGATCACACGCGCCCTTTGACAACTAAATAGTTTCAAGGAAACCACAGCAAAAGCAGGCCGGTTCATGTACTCGCCTGTTGATTCGATGGAACTCCCAACACAACAATGACAACAACAAAAGGGCTTGTCCTGTGTTTGGTTGACATTCATGAAAGAACAGCCGAGCCAAAAAAGTAACAAGACATGGCACAACAAGGATTTACTAGTGGCTGGTCGAGACATGAAGGAAGCCCAAAAACACAGGACACGTCGGGCGGCCCAGCAACTTGAGGAACACAAACCCGTTCCAAAAACAGGGGAAGACAAGGACCTGCCCTCTTGTGAGTTGGTTAGCTTAAAGGGAAACCAAGCCTTTCAAGCAAAACATGTGTTGATTCAATTGGAGACGCAACACAAACGGGAAGAGCAGCACTTGCCATTCGCACCCAGAACAGGATTGCTCGGCCCTTGGAAAAGGACCTACTCTTTTTTGGCGTCGGGGAACCCCACCCAAAAGCCAACTTACATGCAACCCATGACTATCACTAACTTGACAAGGGGAAGGATTGTTGCGGGGGTATTTGGGTGTGTTTTCATGAGTTGCTGCCGCTTTTGAGGTGGTGTTAAAGGGAAGCAAAAAGGAACACCATTATCTACGGCATTCTATTTTGACACACCCATTTGTTTGCGATGGTCCCCTATTGCTTTACAGATGGACGGTTTCTGGTGATGTTGCCGGTCATCGTTTTCAGGTACCTCTTGGTGCCAACCTCCAGGGACTTCAGGAGGCTTTTGCGACTTCGCACTGAAATTGTCCTTGTCATTGCCAAACTTGGCTTACCTTCTTCAACTGTTTGCCTTGGATTCTACTTTATGTTTCCTTTCAACCAGCCCAAGTTCATATTTGGCGGTCCACGGCTCGCGCAGTTCTGACATTCCAAGCCTTGCGACAACCACAATGTGTCCCGTTGCCTCTGATGACGCTCCGCTCGTTCCGGCAAAAAACAACAAAAACAGGGACACACAACTGCGGTTGGATTCTGTTCGAAGGGAAACTCATCCCAAGACGGGGCGAAGGGTAAAACATGGTACAACAAAGACTCCTGGCTTGGTCAATTTCAACCGAATCCCATGCCAAATGGGAAAACACACATTCGGTCCCAAGATAGGATCTCGAAGCCATCGCTCAGAACGCGCCACGGTTTCCCCAAAGCAACTTGCAAACAAACATGTGTCTTCTCTTGCCGGTCCTCGGTAGGTAATTTCAATACATTTAGGCATGAACCGACAAGTGTCCCGCGAAATAGCTGGATGGCTCACCAAGGTTCCAACTCTTTCCCCCATCGAGCCGGCAAGTTTTCGTGGCAAACAGACATGAGATTTGCCATAAGGAAACGCATGATGTGGATGTCCCACAAGAAACTGCCGGGCTTCGCTATGCCCAGCACGTTGGGGTCTTTGGCAGCGTCCGGAAGGCCCATAAAACTGGCGATGACGTCGGGGTAGTCGTCCCACAACTCTTGCCAAAGGCTTTGGCTTTCCTCGGAAAACGTGGGGCAAACAGGGAAACACGAAAAAAACAGAACAGCACGATCTTTTGGACAGATCAAAAACTGACAAATACATACATGGAAGGCAACATGACATAGAACAATGCCGCGGAAGACATAACAAAACAAACAAAAGAAGACACAAACAAGATGCATGCAAGCAACCAAAAGGAGCACACCTAGCAACAAAACAAACAAGATACATCGAGGGAAAGCAACACACTGGAAAGCACAGAGGAAGTAAAGATGCGAATGACACAGGACAATACGCCAACAAACAGAACAAAAACAAAGACAACCATAGAAACAAACTCGAGTAGACATGTCAACATGAGGCACAATCATATCCTACTGCGCTGGCTAGGCAGGGGGGTTGGTGTTAGGGAGGTTGGTGTTAGGGGGGTTGGTGTTAGTGGGTCCCCCCATAGATTCTGGAGGTAAAACGGTAAAACGCGTCCCATCAAAGGTTTGAGGGGGGACAAGGCTCCCGCTTACTTGGGTTTTTTAAGCATCCGAAGATGCGCTTTCTGACCTTTGAGGCCTGTGAATTAGACACTATGTTCCGGCCAAGACGTGGCTACCAAGGGGCTGAGCCACAGAATTGCCCAAACCCCAACTTCCCAAACCCAGGTATATTGGGAACAGCCGCTTCTCTTTCCCACTAAACATGAGCAGGACCTGAGTGCAAGCAAGCATTGAAGAACACAATGTTTACCCCAAATTGAACAACGCTTAGTTAATACATAGGGGTCGCCTCTGCCAAGCGCGGCGTTCATCTATATTTATATCTAGACCTATCTTACCCTATATTGTCCTTTATCATCCTACCAAATCCTGCCTTATGCTGTCTGGTCTGGTCGTATCCTATCTTGTCCTACCGCAATATTATCCTATCGTGCCCTATCTTGTCCTATGAGTCTATCCCTCTATCTACCTATCTGCCTAGCTATCTATCGTATCTATCCTATCTACATATCTAGCCAATCGTTTTCCTACCTGCCCAAGACATATATCATGTATCTTATCTGTATGACCCATCATGATATATCTGTATACTATCTACTTTATCTATCTTGTTTATGATGTCTATCATACCTACATACCTTCTACCTTATCAATTTACCTACCTTATATATAATATCCTGCGCTGCCCTGTCTTATCCTATCTATCCCGTGTTGGCCTACATGTCCGTGTCTTATCCTACCTTGTCCGAAGTACCGATTGATCTATCTACATATCTATCATCTATCTTTCTACCTATATCTCGATCTTAGCCAATCTTATCTCACATCATCCTGTCTTATCCCATCTTATCCTATCTTACCCGATCTGGTCCTATCTTGTCCGTATCCTATGTATCTACCTCTCCATCTATCAACCTACCCACCCACCTAGCTATGTATCCTATGTGTCCTACCTATCCTACCTATCCCATCTGTCCTATCGTTCCTATTTATCTAATCGTAGCTATCTTATCTATCCTGTTCTATCTTAGCTATCTGATCTATTTTGTGTGTCTTATCTATCTTATCTATCTTCTCTTTCGTGCCTTGCATATCTATCGTATTTACCTTGTCTACATTGCCTACCTCGTCTTTTATCATATGCCAGGGATACTCCAGAGCTGGAGAGCGGAAAATTGTAGCTACTGTGCCTGAAGAGATTCTTTGCGTGGAGCTGTGCCATTGGGCAACTCTCCGACTCCGTGGCGACCCTACGACCCTGTGGGGAGCTGCGCAAAACAGGGCTACCCTTCGCGTGTTTCGCATGTGGGTATCTCCACTTTTCGAATTAGAGAAGTTGTCTTACTAAACTTCCCAGTCTTAACTCATCTTATCCGGTTCTATCCTATCTCATCCCATCGTATCCCATCGTATCCCATCGTATCCCATCGTATCCCATCGTATCCCATCGTATCCTTTCTTCTCCCATGTCATCCTATCTTGTCCTGACTTTTTTTGGCCATGGTTCGCTATCATCCGCAGCGCGCAGCGTTTGCTCTAGCCTACTGTGAGAAGTCCGGAAAAAAAGACGTGTTGGATATCGCTATTCTCTTACAGGGAAGTGGCCGCAACAAGAAAGACTGGAATGCAGCCCAAAGCCTGCCAGGCTCGTCACAAAGAGTGTCACACAGAAGGACTGATACGGTAGCCTTCAAAAAGGCGTTTGGTGATTTCTGGCCTGCGTGATGAGGTGCTGACGGATCCAAGGGTTGTCCTTCTCAAAAGGCATGTTGGGTAAATTGCTGTCTTGCTGTTTCATTCGCTGCCACGCCAAGCCCATGTTTGCTGTGTCCAAAATTTCCGCAGCCTACAAACTCTGCGAGAAGTTGCTTCCCGGGGTATGGCAGATGCTGTTCTGAAAGTTACTTGGTGTTGGGGATGAGCCCTGTCCCTTCTCAGAACGTGTCTTAGCAATTTGAGTTTTCTGTCTTCCAGCATTTCAGTGAAGCGGGTGTTACATCCTGGCTCTTGGGGTGGCGCCTGAATCTCGTTCGCTCTGTAGGCATCGTTGCTGTTCTGTCTTTGTATCTACGTGGTGTGTAATTTCAGAATCTTACGGAGCCCTTTCAATTGGAAGGTATTCAGGAGGTTTGCAACTGCGTCCGTTGGCTCCAGCGTCTCTAGTCCATACAGCACTTTCGAAGCAATCACGGAGTTGAACACCATCCATTTCCATTTGTTTGCAGATTTTGCAGTTTGTTCTGTTCCCGAAAAAGTCAAGTTGTTTCAGGATAGGCATAGTAGCTGAGATGCGTCGTTTGATCTCATGCTGTAGGTTGACCGTCTTGCCAATTTCGGCTTCAAGTACATTGCAGTGCCAACTGATTTCATGTTTTCCCCTCTGAAGTTGACCGGCCCCCGTGCATTGAAAGCTCTCGTTAAAGTTGATGCCGTTGAACGCTTTCCTATGCTGAGGGGCATGGTTTCTTTCGTTGAGAACTACAAACATGCAATGCATTGTAAGGATGAACAAGTAGGGGCTCAATGCCTTGTCTATACCGGCTCTCCTATCATGGAAACAGCTGGGTTAACGGTTGCACAGAATCAACCAGGAATCGCCCCCTAGAAAAGGGTATAAGTATCATGCTGCGCGCTGAAAAATGGTAACACGGTAGAAAGGATGCTGTCTTTTTCAAGCAATATCTGAAGCCAGCCCATTTTTCACGGGGGGGGGGGCGGGAAGATAAACCGCTAAAACGGTTTTACCGTTTTACCGAAAGACTGAGAAGCGGACCTGTTAGCACCTACCCCGCTGCTAAACCAGCTTAGAATCATATAAGTAAAGCAAATAAAACATTAAGAACGACACTTGTACCTGGGCTCGACCTTCCCAAAGAAACCACCACAAAGGCGGGAAAACAACTACAACAGCAAGAGCAAGAACAACCGCAAGAACAACAATAATAAGAACAAGAACAACAGCGACGACGACGACCCACATGAGTTTGTCTCGAAATAGGGAACCCTGAAAATTGGTGTTTGTCCCCTTGTTCCCCTTTAAACCCGCCCCCAAGAGTACTATCAAAAGACATTTAGTGGAATTGGCAAGTCCTGGAAATGTAAGTACTGGGAATTCTGAGAGGAGGCGGGGCTGTTTTGTTCGTCTTTGAGTCATTGATGAATGAACATGAAAAAAGCAGCAAAACCTACGGTGGATAGAAAGCACTATGCTTCATGATCTCCACCAAGGGGGCCCCGCAAGTGAAACTCATGCCCAGCTTCTTTTCCTTCTCCCGGGATCCTCTAGTTGCGTCACATTGAAGCAGGTCCAACATGACAGAAACACGCACCGCACACTACTTGGTTGCTGCTGATCCCTCCGCAAAAAGTTTAACTTTTTGCGGGTTTAGTGGAACCCCCCTTGATTTCCCAAAAAGTTAAAGTCGAAACATCCAAACCGAAAGCAGTGAAGACTACCTCCACCTTCGCCAAAAGTCGTTCACGTGGTCCTGGCACGCCGCCGCCTCCACCCCGTCACTCACCGTCTCCGCGCAGCGCTCCGGGCAGCCGTGCACTTGCAGCTGGTACCTGAGGAGCGCGCGCGCGCGTGGAGGTTGGCAAACACGCGGCTTTTTGGGACGTTGGCAAAGGTGACATGGGTGTGGGTCAAAATCAAACCACCGGGAATTGGACCGCAGGTTTTAGTCCAAGTTTCCATTTACCAGGGCAAGACATTTTCGGTACACATTTTTGACCCACAGCCACATGGTCCAAAAACAGACATGGGAAAGGCTGGGATGTGTTGAATCCGCGTTCTCAAAAAGAAACAAAATAAACAGGTTCACATCAAAAGGGCCCCACCAGTAAAGGGGGGCTGGGGCAGCTCACTCGGGACTTGAAATTTGTGACTGATGAGTTGGATTCAAAACTCCTTGAAAACAGCCTGATCCGCAAATTTTGCACTAATTCCAAACCTGAAATAAGAATTAGATCCCCAAGTAGAGGATCTTTACCATGATCAGCTCATTTTACCACCCGGTGAGCTCATTATAAAATAGGCAGAACATAGAAAATAGCGGCCATGAGAAATTCATCGCCAAAAACCACCTAAAGCCGCATCAGCCAAATACAATCTCTGGCAGAGAGGGAATTGAAAATGCCACAAACAACATAAAGCCATGAAAAAGCCACAAAGGTCAAAAAGCCACCCACCCCGAACCAATCAACCAACCAGTCAACCAACCAACCAACCAAACAACCAACCACCCAGTCAACCAACCAATCAACCAGCCAGCCAGCCAACCAACCAACCCGCCAGGCCCGCCAGAGTTAGCCCTGTGCCAGGGATAGGCAAAAAATAGCACCCTTTCCTGTAATGTTTGTGCCACACAAAAAGGGACACGTGAGGCTTGACAAGTAGGCACAAAAATCATTGGGTTAAAGATCCAAGCCAATAGGTGTCTGGTTGATACCGATCTTCATGCCGAGGATGGGAGGCTGGCTGCGCACGGAGACTCATAGAGCCGTCACTCAGCTGCCCCCCTCGAGTTTGCCAAAATGCCAAGGGCTGGTGAGATGATCATCGCAGCCGCAGGTTTGCGGGCAGACCAGCCGCAGCAAGTGGGCATCGTCGCCGTTGCACAGACTCGCCATGTTACCTTCCGGCCGACACAGCCGCCTCCAGATTTGACCAGGAACTAAAGGGCAACTCTCTGTTGGGATACCTGGCTTGCCAGGGCAAAACAACACAAGGAGGAGTTCAAACTCCCAAACCAATGCATTCAATGCAAACCAGAACCAAATTGCAAGGTTAAGATAAATGTCAGCTGAACTCTATGTGGCATGTTGGCAACACCCAGCTTGCAACCTCTGGAGCCCAACTTTGGGCAAATGCCCCCATAGGTTGTCCTTTCCACAAGGTGAAAAACCGCCAAGAAATACGACGCGTTTGGATTCTGGGGACCATGGCGATTTGCAAGGTCTGGATTCCTGGATTGCTCCCCAAAAGACAAATAAACGTGGCAACCATTTTCCCTGGCCGTGCTTCTCAACCAGTATCAGAATCTGGTGATGACCAACAAAGAGCTTCAAGATTGCCAACGAAATGTCGGATGAGAGGGAAACCGCCTGAACATGGTCCCTGAGCATACTAGCCTTTGAGGACCGCTGACGCCTGAGGTTTTGCAGTGCAAAGACCTTTCCTCAAGAAAGTTTGTCCCTGGACAAAGGAAACAAGAGGACCTTTGACAACCTAACCAAATGCGGTTTGCTTGTTGTACCCTGCTTTGGGCAGGCCTCGGATATGAGAAACTCAAGAAAACCAAGCCAATCTTCTACGCCAAAATATATTGGGCCATTTCTTGGGAAAGGCCATTTATTGGGAACACCCCTGACCATACCCTAAACCCACCCTAACCCCAAACGTATCCACAACCCCTCCCAAATCCGACTCACCTTAAAGCCTAGTCCAAATCCACCACCCACATAGTGGTGAATCACAACTGAAATCGATATCTGGTTGCCATTCCTGGGTGAAACCGCTCGTTGTACCCCCGACTTGGTAGACTAGCTCGTTTTTTGAAAACCAAAGTGATTGATCCCAGGACGGCTACAAATCACTCCAGAGGATTCCGACTTCCCGCCGATTTCGCGTTGCAGCCCAAGGAATTTCCAAGCGCCCGAGAGGCTGCAGGTGGAGGTGTTGCTCCAACCCAGGCCAGAGGCTGTAGACCACCAGAAGGGCTCGTAGGCAATGGCGTTCCTCACTCAATGCTCACCGACCAAGAAACGCAAAGGTGGAAATAACTATATATGTATTTATATATATATATATGTGCTTCCCCGCCAAAACAACAAACATAAAGTTGACTGTATTTGCAGCGTTTTTGGGCGATTGCCACGCCGTTTTCAGGCACTACAAGTTTGACCCTCTAACTCATGCCCATATCTGCACAGTTGACTGTGACTCTATCCGCTCAAAGTGCTTGAAAGCGCTTTAAAGCACTTTTGGATTCAAGATTCAAGATTTCCAGGACTCTAGATCTGGAATCTGGAATCCAGTCTGGCCCCGCAAAATGCCTTAAAGCGCTTTTAAGCGTTTCATCCAGGTGGCTCGTGGATTCAAGATTCCAGGTCTTGAGTCCTGAGAATCTTGAATCTTGAATCTTGAATCCAAAAGTGTTTTAAAGTAAAACCTTTGAAGCACCTGATTTCATCCATTCCTGCTTGGGTGTGCACCTTATTGTCCTTTTCGACTTGCGCGCGGTAAATATAGCTCAGAGTTCAGTATATGGACATTGGATATGTTCTTTAATAACTAAAAAAAAACAAAAAAAAAACACCAACCCAAGGACACTGACAAAACACTGCAAATACCAGTGTTTTGCACGCTGTTTAGCAAGTTTTGTGCAGAACATATTTTGTTTCTAGAAATATATATTTTAGTAGACAGCGTGGCATTGGTCAGGACATGAGGTGTGAGCAGGTGTTCTGGTATTGGCCAAGGTTTGTGAGCTGACAGATGGGTACCAGATACTTTGGTAGTGCCACAGGATTGTAAGTTGAGACACAAAGAGGATTTGCACATGAGTTGGGATGAGAAATCGAAGATGTGTAGGCGAAGCAGTAGAGGTATGGTTTACCTTTTTGTTCGATACACTTGCGCCGGTGCCCGCACAGAGATGTTTTCCAGTCAGTTGAGCGAGGATAACATCAGCGATGAGTATGCCAAAGCAAAGCTTCTCTGGACACATTGATAACACATCACGATTTATATTTGACAGCAGAGGTGCTGTGTTTGGCTGACATTTTTTGAGAACTTCAGAGATGTATGTATGACATGTTGTGGTCTCAACCTTCTGTGTTATGACACGTTACTTGACTTCGCTTTTACAGTGGTCCAAACTTGTGTTATGATGTTGATGCTGACTTTCCAATTAACCTGTGTTGAAATGGATTGAGTTTGTGACAAGAACATGAACTAAATACTATTAAAAAGGAGGAATACCACAAACAATCTGTTCAGAACGTAGAAGAGCAAATGCTATGTGCATAGGTGGCAAACTCTTAATGAATCATCTGCGAAAGTCTGCCAAAATTGTGAAATGAGCCCACTTTTGGCACTATCTGTTCAAAATGACTTGCCCCCCCCATACATAAGCAGCGGGCGCGGGTTTTGGGGGGTGCATATATGTATGTGATTTCAACATGGCAACTTCATTTGTTTTTTCTCAACATGGCAACGTTTCGTGTATGTCCAGCATAACATTTGGATTTTGCGGGACCTCCAACTATAGGACCTACTACAATAGTACAATACATATATCCTACTACAATGATACAATACATTTATATATATATATATATATATGGTGTCAGCTCCTCATACCAAAAGGCAGACCTGCTACGATCAAGACATACCAAATCAGGGTCATTAATGGGTCATACATAAAACATAACCTTCTAGAGGGTATTCTCATCCTACGCAAAGAGCCCGACATGACCCGACCTCTTGCAAAAAATGACACATGCTTGTTGGTTGAAAGAAACAGGAAGGAAAACGAAACAGGCAGCAAGTCAGGCTAAGTGAGGCTCAGTGTGACGATGTGATACTTACGGAGTGTGCAGTCTCAACATCCCTCGCAACTGGGCCAAGTGCCCACTCCTCTCCCCTTTCACTCCCCCTTTAAACCACTCCACTCCACACACAGGGTGCCCTTCAAAAGAGAAACCGGACGACCCATTTACGCAACGGTCGTTTCCACCCTTCAGTTCGACAGGGTTGAAACTGGAGTTTCATCCCGAATCCTAATTGGGAAACTAAGGCATCACCCTCTGGCTGTGTGTTGTCCCGTCTTGGACAACAGTTGTGGTTTTGGGGATCGTCTACAAGCAACAAACATAATGTATAAACCAAGTATGCTCCCCTGATGCAAATCCCTATGTTACGCGTTAATTGCAAGTCAATTGTCCATCAACCTTTGGAACGTGCCCGTTTCGAGGTTGTTTACGAACGCAACTCAAACCACGGGGGCCGCTGGTTTTCCTTCACCAAGTTCCCATGGAGCCATAAAGCGGATGATTCAATCACAAGCATCACCAAAAGGAATCCAAATGGACACCAACATCAAAACCAAAGGACGCTCAAAGCAAGCAAGCGACACATAAGAAAACACATCAAACGAAGAAGCAATCCCAAAAGAAACCGAAAAACGATCCAACACCAAAATCAAAAGCAAAGCCACAAGGACCTCAAAAGTAAAACCAGCCAGCAAACCACAGAAACACACGGTAAACTTTGATGGAAGAATATCATCGAATGAGCGATCCCGCAAAATCTCTTTGGCGTCCCCCACAACGGTTCTGAAAAGGGTATTAATATGCCCGAAGGGCACCATCATCTGCGACTCTAAAAAACTTCCCTCAGTTGGTAATCTCTATGGCTTTCCAAACGCTTCTTCAAAGGAAGGTCCGACCGGCCTTATCCACATGGCGCCAGATGATTACATTCCCTCCCCAAGGCCCATCATTCTCAAAATCTGGATTCTTCAAACCTTAACTCCGTCATTCATTGCCCTTCGGGTTGGCACAAAACGTTTCAGGGTCACAGTCCCAAATCAGGAGCGCGCCTACCCTGTCGACTTGTTTGGCACTAACAAAGTTGCCCTTTGAGGGGTACCAGCGGTGCGCATGACCGTTAGGGTATCCCCGCAAACAAAAACAAACACACCAAAAACTCAAAGGGCATGCGTCAGAATACGGGAACCGTGCTTCTGGCGGTTCTTCCCTGCAAGCCGGTGCGCTTTTCCTCTTTCGAGCAATCTCAGACAAGAAAATGAATGGCGATGCCCCCCATGTTCAAGACTGGGTGCCAATTGAACACCTCCCCATCCTTTGATCGGGCTCAAGCCCCTTTACACCCTTTGCGCAGGGCAGACTTCAAAAAGGCTCGTCAGCCTTCGGCCTGAGGCATCGACAGGTCCTGCGCCTGCGATACACGGCAACCCACTTGACCTCGCTCTCAGCTCTCAGAAAACCTCCCTTGAGCCATCGTTCTCCTCCTCCAGCTTGGGCTTCTCAACCGGGCTCGCGCAAAGATGATGCCCATGAACGTCCTCATCACCCCGCTGCTGAAAAAATCCAGTCCACCAGCCATTCTGCCAAGTCACGCTGTTGACGCCAGCAGAGCTGTTCTTCGCCAACTCCCCATAGCTCATGCTGCACGCTGATCGCACGCGGATGTCCGCCAGGTTCTGTGATGCGTGCACCTTGTGAAGTGTGAATTGCTTCGCGCTGCTGTCCATCTCATCCGCGCTTGCACAGGTCTTTTTTCCTGAGCTGCACATAGCAGAAGTTTTCAGCGCGGAGCACCCTCTGCCGTTACCGCATGGCAGACCTGCTGCCAGTTCCTTGAGCGCTTGACCTCGCTCACGCGCCTTTCTTCTTTGCGCTTGACCTCGCTCACGCGAACCTTCAGCTTTCTACAAACCCTGAGGTCGCCCCTTCTCCCCTGAAGTCTCCTCTGCTGCGTCCAATTGGGCTGCTTGATCATCTTCCAAACCCGCATCTCACATGAAGATCTGCAGGGACGCTCGTGACCCTTCTAGACTGGGATCTTCCTGCGACCTCGTGTTCAACCGGGTTACTTTGATGAGGACGGGACGGTCAAGCAGCTGGGTCATGGCTGTCAGCATATTGCTGAGCAACAATCCCAAGACGCTGCAGGCTGAGGGCTCCATTTGCCACGCCGTGTCGCACCAAGGTGAGGTGTATATGACACCAAGTGCCAGCACGTCATGTACGACTCTGGGTCAAATGAGCACGACTTACCAGCCACCTTTTCTTGTCGAAGCCCTTCTTCCGGCAGTCAGCCTTCTTGTGCCCCAGTCTCCCACTGCCCCAGTCTCCACACTGCCGTCGAACTGGGTCTTGCCTCTGTCCTTCTTGCCGAACTTGCCCTTTTTTTGTCTTTGCTTGGACTTGTTCTTGTCTTGCCTTTGCTGTTTCAGGCCTTCAGGGCATACGAAGGGTCTTCAATTCGGTTGAACAGTGAAGGCTGCAGGCGCCACACACTTCTTGAGCTTGCCGTAGTTGGTCCCAACGGCTTATAGACCTGTCCTCAACACGATCTTGATTCCAGCTGGTTGGACTGGTCCTGGTACCTCATCAGCACTTCCCACCGCTCCAAATTCTCCAAGTGATCGATCACCTTGCTCCAGGCAACGATGCCCATCAGCATGCTGGTGTCGCGCCCACCTGTTTTCGGCTCGGTGCCTTCCATGCCTGCAGTCCGTCGCCGGCCTCCGCATTCATGACAAGGCTTTGCCCTCCACGGACTGGTAAGGATGTTGAACAGGGCCGATCCGTGCACCTTTGCCAGCGAGAGCTCGCTGCATACTATCCCTGCGGGCTGAGTTCAGGCGCTCTGCCAGCGCCAGACATGTCTAATTCTCCGCGTTGATCAAGTTCATGTAGGCCTGCGCCACGCGTCTTCATCATTGCTGCTTAGGGCCTGCAAGCGGCCATGCGCCCTCGGGTCCACCAGCAAGGCTGGGCACATGGCCTTCGGCGTTGCCATACGCGCCGCGCCTTCAGGTGGTCTTGTGGGGGGCGCCTTGGAGACGTCTTACCCCGGGGCCGCCCCAGACATTCTTACGCGCACCGGCCTGCCCCAAAAGGTCTCATGGTTCCGGCTCCGCTACCATGCAGCGGGTGCGGCTTTTTGCTCTTTGGAATCGCCAAAGGGGCTGATAGATGCACAAGCGACATGAACGGCGATGCAGTAGCCATTCATGAGCAAAGACACCCAAAAGTGGCGCTAGATCCGCATGCCGAGCCGCTGCTTGTCTTGCGGAGCTACTTCCCCGCCCAGATACCACTGGTCCACGTCCATGCACACCTACAGTTCGGGAGGCCTTAAGACCAATAGCAAAAAATGCCTCCAGCTTCGAATTTCAGTCCACGCAAGCCCGGGGGTGCTACTTGCGGGGTGCCCCTTTGGCTTTGCTGACTTAAGCTGTCGAGTGCACTTGGTTTGGTCAAGCAAAGGAAGCACTGGCCGTTGTTTTGCGTGGCCGGCGGTTTGGCTTGAAGACAAAGGGTGTGGTGCAAACATGGGGAAACCCCTAAAATCGTTGCCCTGGTAAATGGAGCACGAACCAAAACCAGCCGTCCTATTTCTGGTGGTTTTTGACCCATGCAACCTACTGCAACCTGAAGCTGTAAGAATGCAAAACTTGATGTTGTAAACCTCTGGCGCTCTCCAAGGGCATGAGGAGGACTCCATATCAAACAGCCAGCCGAAGGAAAACCGCAGGCTTGTCTCCGAAAACGGACCAGACCTTCTACGGACTTGGGTCCTCAGTTTCCTTTTACCAACAAAAAGGTTACCCGGCCCCAACCCTTCCCCCCATTTTGTAGGGCTTTGTGTAATTTTGGGATGACGTTGCCTGGGAAGTGAGTTTCAACACCAAAGCTGTTCCTCTGAACAAATGCTTGGTTCTAATTCGGAGATCTGGACCTGATGTTTTAATGCATTGGTTTTAGCACCCAGGGTAACACCAGACTCGTCGCCCGACTCTATTCAGATTTCGATTGAAACGTTCCTTGGAACGTGCGTGAAGGGGCATGGCGATGTTCACTTCTGTGGGCTAGTTGCTTTTAGGACTCGGACGCCCGAAATAGTGGAATTTATTCTTTTGGTTTCCCTTTAAAATCACAAAACAGGGGCACGAGGGAGGGAGGATCCAATAAAGACAAATATATTTTGGTGCATTGAGTGTACTGAAGCCTAGGGCAAGAACGACATAATGAAGGAAGATAGCCGAATACCCTCAAGAACCAACGGTTGCCAACTTTAGAATTTACCAGTTTGCTTCTTCCCGAAAATCTGCCAATCGCTGCTGTTGACAACAAATGTTCAGCCAGAACACATGGCTAGTCGCAAGCGCTCTTCCAATGGAAACTTCTGTGAGCTGGTTTCGCGGCTACAAGTGCTTCTTCGTGCACAACTTCGGCCAGCAAGGCAACCACCCGTATTTTCAATGTGCTCAAGACCCACGGCAAATAGAGCCATAGTTTTCCATGGCTCAAGCAAGTTTCTGATGCCGTTCCCTTAGATCCTCAACTGGGATCTTCTTGCATATCCAGCCTTTGACATGGAATCCACCAAAGGGTCCCCTTAAAGAAGAAATTTGTCGTCCAAAACCGCTCAGTCAGATTCCATGTAAGTGGGTGGCAGGGTAGCGGCCACACAATCAGTCCTTTTTCCAAGATGCTCGCCAGCTGCTGCTTGCTGCGAGGGTATTCATGGTGTCTGTGCGCTGTGTCTCAAACTCCTGAAAGCAACAGGAGGCTCAACAAAAGTCAGCTAGACACACGGGTGCTTTTACTAGCCACCTGAACACTACCCGCAAAATGGTGGTTTACCCTTCGTCTGTTGGAAAGGGTAACATCCTAAAGGGTGCTATCTTTTACGGAGCCCCGTGACCAGCGTGCCCTGTGACAAGCCTGCCCTTCGCCCCATGGTCACAGGTCATGGCCAAAGCATGGCTCACAATCTAGCAATTGGCAAAGAGAAGTGACCAACCACTCAAGAGGGATAATAGATGCTGAGATATGCCGAGCCTCAATGTTCTTAAGTGAACGCACATGCGGATATGTTGCACACAGGACACCTTCAGACAGATGGAACTCGTCGTGAATCCCTCTAGACTCTGCTTCCCCCTCAGCACGTTCCAGTGGCCTTTGCCGGGTTCCCTATACTTCCCCTTCAAGGATTACAAGCGAAGTCCCTTCATACTGCATGACCGAAGAGGTGATGGTTCAGTCTACCAGAAGCCTCCGCAGTTGAACATGGAACCTAGCAAGGGGGTCACTCCACATGGGAAAAGTTGACAGATTCCATGCTAATCTGAAGGGGAGTATACAACCATGAGTGGTCCAAGAACATCCAAACGAATCTACTCAATACCGAAATGTGCTGCATTGTTCGGACCAATGCCCAAAAAAGCTGGCCCCATGCATCTCCCATAGTGACCAATTCCGGACAAAAACGCCAAGTTGCCCCACAAGGAGTCAGGACATGCAAAAAAACAAGTGCACTTTGCAAACCGCCCAGGGCCCGGAACCATGCTGAGCCAAAAACGCTGGAATCATGGAACTTTAGGACTCCCAAGCTCTGCCTTAGCGTCGGGCTTTGGGTTTCTTGCACAAAGCTGTTTGCTAGTTGGTCGGGAACCAAACAGTGCGCAAGCTAAAGAGGTTCCTTAAACTGAAGCCCAATCTCTTGATCAGTGCTTTTTCCAGCTCCGGAATTCATGGTTTCAAATCCTCATTGGCTAAATACCCCATGCAAGTCCCGCGCGCGTTTTCGCAAAGCTTCATGGGCTGAAAGCGGGGCAAAGGCTGATCCTTTCGCAGAGTCTCTTTTACTTTGGCTCAAAAGCGCCGGTTCATGGGAATGCTTCAAACCTACCTCAAAAGGGTACTCTCAAAACGCACACGCCCTCACGTTGCCACTTCGCGAATGAAACTCGAAATGGCTTTCGGAACTCGGACGGCCAGGATTGCAAAGCATATACACACCAAATTCACCTGATTCACCTGCGGGGATCCTCCTGTGGTAAATGTGATCTTTTGGATGGCCTGTACATGTATCCGCAGGTAATACAAAAAGAACTGATCCCCAAACAAAGGACCTGCATCAGAGCATTCCCCCCCCCGAGTGAGCTCGCCGAAAAACAGGCGGTGTCTATGTTTCCTTTCTGGATGGCTCCGACGGCCTGTGCAAAGGGTTTAACTTTGGCAGGTGAGTCAAAGCTCAAACATTTTCCCCATGTTCAGCTTAGCGTCAAGCTTCTTGCAGGTTGGCACGTGTTGCTCATTTTCCCGACAACTTAAAGCTTCAAGATGGAAGCAAATGGGTTTGTCTCAACAAAAACCCTCAAATCTGGTGGTCTTTCTCTTGTTCCCCTTTAAACAAGTCCAAACCCAGGGTGCCTTTTGCCACACAGACAGACCGAACCGCGAGCCGTCGGCTGGCTCCTGGGCGGTATCCGTGAAGCGGATCCAGGGGCTGGAGCTGTCGTCTGCCTGCGCAAAGTTCGACACCGCGATCTCCGTGAGACTCCTCGGAGCGATGCGACGCGAGATGGAGACGGAGACGGGCCAAAACGGGTGTCTCTCAAAGGTTTCCTTTTCACCGTGGTTTAAAGGGAAACCACAAAAGACAAACACCGAAACTCAGTTCTCCTGGAGGTGCTGGTGCGATCCCTTGACTTGGCCCTGAAAGCTCTTCTGCGGCTTCTTTGTCTTGGTCAGTCTTTTCTTTCGTCGCTCATTAGACCATCAAACGACTCTAAACATCGACTTCCACATGGTCCGATGTATGTTTGTTTGGGTTTTCCTTGGTGCTTTGTGACCGGAGGGCGTCTTGATCCCATGGTGCTAGGAAGAGGAAACTCTGCAACTCTGGTTTGGATGAGCTGCAATATGACCAGAACTCTTACAGCATGTCTATTGGATTATCCTTTCTATTAGCTGGACATTGAAAAGACGTGATATGAACTATGCAGATAGGATATAAAGTAAACGAGGCTTCGGGCAAACAAAAATGGCACGCGCGCTTGCCTTTGCCGCGTGGCTTAACCAAGCTCTGGCATTCCTTAGGACATCCCTACTTAGGTATCTTACAAGTGTCTAGTATATGTTTACTTTTGTTCCAGTAGACATCTAGCATGTGTTTAATACTTTGTGAAGGAAGTCCCTGACACATGATGCGTCTAGGACGAATCTAGTATATCTCAGTGTTTCTAAGACGCGAGTAAACTACGTCTTTGCAGAAAGTCGGTCTTTAACCCAGAAGGCGGTGAAGATGCATTTTGAGGGCATTCTTTTTTCAGCTGGGCTCAGAGTCATCAGAGGCCTGGTGGTGCAAGTTGCCAAGTCGCCCGCATGCGCAACTTGCATACCTTTCACAATTCACACGCGTGTGACAAGGAAACCTCCGGGCTCCAATGCAAGGTGCATGTACCCCGTGGATGGAGGTTGCTTTGGCACATTCAAGTGAACAATTCATGCAACATGATATACATGCACATGCACATCGATCACAAACGCGCACCTCAGCATTGCAGCAGCGTAACCCAGGCGGTCCCCTACAGGCACTTGCGCATGTACGTGCAAAATGCGAGGCTAGACGCCACTTGGCTGCACACGCATGTGCGTGTGTGTGCTTTCGTCGTGTGCTGTGCACTGAGGGGCCAGGATGCAATCCACGCTTCCATACATTCATTTTGTGACGAAGATGGCATGAAGCTTCTGAATTAGCCCGCAAACAATCGAAAGGTCGACGTGAGAGCGTAATGGCCCGTGTGGCCTTTTTGCGATGTCTCACTGTGCAGTGGCAGTACAAGAGATGAACAGTGTGAATGAGCGTGAAATTGAATGAGTCGATGCTTACTCATGTCTTTGGATGCCCTGGGATATGATACAGTAGATGCGGTTGCATATTCCTTGAATGATTCTAGTCTATGTTCAAAACATTGCACGTCTGCCATATGTGTAGCATTTCTTGAGATATGTGTCTGACCTTGGGTTTTTGTTCAACCAACCAAGCAGCGTTGATCGTTGACCCTTTCCAAAAGGGGCTGCTTGTGGGTCAGTGAAAAATAGCCATCCCCCCCCTCAGAAACGAAACATCGGAACCAAAAACGAACCTAACCAAAAGGATTGGTCAATCCAAAGACCAACCAAGGGACAAGGTTCAGTCTGGAAAACTCGAAAAGAAAACTATCCGACTCTTGGATTTATGTTCTACAACTTTCTTAATGACGATGGGCAATTTTCTGACCGGCTAAGCTGACTGAAACTGTTTTTCCCCCCCCCCCCCCCGTGGCCTCGACTATGAAAACACCAAAGCAAAACAGCAGCTTGCAAGGAAAGGTGAACCTGCCCCTCAAAGACCACGGGCCGGGAAACCAGGTCAACAGCGGAGTCCCAGAAAACATGGATGTTTTTGAGGCAACAGGTACCGCCTTTTTGAGGTTTTTTTGTCTGAACGGAACTCAAAAGGCCATCCAATCCATAATTACTGTGGATAGACGACATCCTGCACTATTTAACAATCCCTGGAATGATAATTCCCATGGAGAAAAATAACAGAAGAGAAACAACAAACAATGGTTTCTGATGGTTTCAATTGGTGCGAACGGATTTTGATCCATCCACAGGGCCCAACGAGTCCCATTCCAAGGCGAGCCATGGCCCGAATGGGTCGCTTTTCGTCGGAGGCTCGCGGCCGAAGAGGCGTTGTAGGCGGGCGTCCTGGCAGGGATCAAAATTTTCCTCGGCCCGAAGGACCCAGACAAGGGTGATCACCCTTTGGGAAAAGCGGCTCAAAATGGACCACAGGGGAAACTAAGAGATCAACAAAATGTTTGTTAAACACGATTCGCTTTGAGGTAGGAGGTTCCATTAAAGGGTTCCAAATGGGGTGGCTCCATTACAAATCATGGTGGCTTCTATTTACTGGTGGTTTCCATTTACTGGTAGCTTCCCACTTTTGGAGGTCCAAAAATGGAAAAGGGAGGAAACCCTGAGCTGCTTCGCGCCACTTGCTTTTCGAGCCCACGTGTTTTGTCTGTGCGTGCGATGAATGGGTCTGTGCGAGCAACAGGGGGCCTTGTTGTATTGTGCTGTCTGTTTCCTGTGCGATACCGGAGGGTCTAGAAAATGAATCAAGTTGGCCGTCCCCAGCTTTTGCTCTGCGTGTTTCTCTCAGGGGTTATCAAAGCCAGGAGTCCCATGAACCCACTTGGGTGACTTATGGTATGAGCGTGCCTCTGATTCAGGAGCTTAACTTTTTACATGAACAGCTTTTCAATGTCCAACGTCCTGAGACGATTGGGTGATCTTAGTCCCGGAAGACGTTGCATCCCTCGCCCGGAAACAAAGAGTAGGCTACGAATGATCTTGTTAGCAGCTCAATCAACGAGCCTCCAATATTGTAGATTGCCTTCAGGCTTCCGTCTGACACCAGCCATTGAAAAAAGGGCCGTTCCCACGTCCCCTACTCAAAGTCTGACTTTTAGTGCTGTGGAAACTACCACTAAACCCAAAAGAACAAAAAACGTAAGGGGATGCCCGAGATGCCATGCGGCAACATGCGGCAACCATTTCCTTGGGCTCTGTCCTTGCAGCACCGGATTCAAACCCATCTACAGACGTCAGCGGAGCTCGTGGGCTACATTTGGGTTTGACTCAACGGAAACCCCTAAAATGGTGGGTTCCTGCAAGGAAACCCCAAAGAGTACCCTCAAAAAGGGCAGACCCAAATTGCAATCTCTTCCCTGTCGTTCAAATCCATCGACACATGTGGTGCACTGGTTGGGCCGCGCCGTTCCAGACCAAAAAGAGCTGCAACCGGAGCCCCCGGCAGAAGCATTGGAATCCCTTTTTGGGTTTCCATCTTGGGTCCCGAACCAAAGCACACGGGGCAAACAAAGGTCACTATTCCTTGTTGGTTGGTTGATTACATATTCGGTAAAATGCCACCAAAAGAGGGGTTCAAAGAGCGGAATCAATTGAAATGGGAGGCTTCAATACAGATCCACCACGCAGTCCTCAGCAAAGGGCTTGAAACATGTATCAACACAACCTCCTTAAAATGTTCCCCTAAGAGGCGCCACAGCCTGCCTGGCCCCCTCAAACTGCCCTAAAACAAGGGATGTTGCCCCCCCACAAACATAGAGCGAGTTCTCATGTTGAGAGGTTTAAGGGTTGCTAACCCGCTGCAAAACTGCTTTTCCAGGTGTGTTAACTCCCATCAACACCCATCCTTTTAACAGGCTCCAAATAAAAGCCAATCGCCCCCTCTTGGCCTCTTGGGGAGCCTTTAAAAGGCGGCCAACAGCACTTCTCAGCACCTGTCCTCAACCCAACCGGCACACCTTGGTTCTCATTGAGCCCGATCACAAAGTCTTGGTTGCCCCCGCAGTACTCGATCTTCACCTCGAGCCGACCATTTGGGCCGGTCATTTCTATTCATTGTGTTTTTTTTTTGGGGGGGGGGATCATTTACAATGGGATCCGTAATGGCGGACATTATGTAGGGTAATGTTTACAGGGAAATCACAACCGTCAATCCAGTCAGAGAAAGACTCAAAACGCCGGAAATTGATCCACCAACCCACGGGAAAGAATGACAAGGGCAACTAAGTGCACCTTACGGCAAGGGGACTGCGTCACCAAGCCGTGGATCAGCTGTTTGGAAACATCCCCCCACCCAACAAAAAATGCACTGGCTGCAGGGTACCACCACCACAACAAGGAACACACGTTCAGACTCCACACCTCCCAAAAGAATCTAATACCAGTTTTAGCGGGCCATTTCATCCAGCTTTCTACACCAAGCAGTCTTAGCAGAAACTTCTACCAAGTTAGTCGGGGTTGGTGTAAAGCTGGACTCGTGGGGCTTGGCTCAATGAGTTCGCCGTTCCTTCCTTGGTGGGTTGAACGCTTCCCAATCCAAAGGGCGCACTGCGCACTGCTTGTTTTCAACCAAACGACAAGTCACCTGTCCCGGGCAAAGCTTGATCTTGCTCTGCAAGGAATCAACGGTTGTACGAATGAAGCTAATTTCAAAGGGTCCACATCATTGGACACCAATTGGAAGCCGGGTTTGGTCGCCCGAAGCTTCCCTCGAGTCTCGCTCGGGGATCGAGTCGAGGGGCTGTCTGCATGGCCGCCCCAAGGGGCTCTACGAGCTGAAACCAGGGCCATAACATGAGGCCTGTCATCGCCAGCACGAGCAGCACGGACTCCACTTGGCTGCGTCCTGCGCAGCGGCAAGATGCGCGGTGCTTCGACTTCTATTGATCCGAATGGAAAGAGTGATGACCCTCTTATTTGTTTCAGTACGGAAGAGGCATCCTTGTTGAAACTCAGAAAGCTGACCCGCAGTCAATGACAGTTGGGCCACGTGAATCACAATTACTCACTGACCGGGAATAGACAAGCGACCTCGAAGAAACAAACCTTTCTCATGAACCCCAAATCTAAGGGAACCCCCCCGGACTAATGTGAGGTCGCGATTCGCGAATTAATTGACCATGATATCATATATCCTTTCGCGCTTCTTGTAAAACTGGCCCAAGGCCAGATTGAATTGGTGCACACTAATACCTGTTTCGGGCAAGATGAGACCCATTGGAAGATCAGGACCTGAATTTCTTCATGGTCCTTCCGGCATCCTGAAAGTCCTTCGTTGTAGGGGCTTGGTTTGTGAAGGGCTCTCTGCCCAGCTCCGTAGAGAAAGCTAAATGAGAATGTGGTTGAATCGATCATATTTCGTTCTCCAAATTAGGGGCCATGTACTTGGGAAGCCTTAAAAAGAAGCCCTGCTCTCCCCTTTTTTGAGTGAGAAAAGCCCACCCGGGATTGGTCCAACAAAATGTTCCTTAGAAAAAAAGGGCGCTTTTTTTTTTTTGGGGGGGGGGCTGGGGGCAATTACTTACAGATTGTCACTCCCTCAAACCTTGATGAAGTCTCGCACTGGACAACCATCGTTAAAACAATTCTGTGGCAAGAGAGGTCACCCCCAAGCAAGTCACAGACCAAGCAAGTCACAGATCAAGCAGGGATGATTCTCCCTTTTTCGCGATTCATCATCTGTCTTACCTTTGAGCCCAGGAGGTTTTGGGAACTCCCGACTTAGGAAACTACGCATATCGAGAACGGCCCACACTTTGCGCTTCTGACCTGGGATCTGCAAGTGTAAAACCTGCGAGCGCCCGCACGAAAGATGCGCAAAGCTTCGCAAAAAGATTCAAGGCCATGCCAGGAACCGGGAGACAAACAGCAGGAATACTCGGTTGCAAAATCTGCTCCCCTGCTACAAGTTTAACTTTTAGTGGTTTTATGGAAACCCAATAGGTGGCTAAAAGTTGTAGTCCTAACATCCAAGCAAAATGCACCAAATAATATATACGGCGGCAGTGGTTCGGAAAATACGTGGTCGCATGTTAGTGTGGGCATATTTGATACATAGATGTCTCCTACCTACCGGGATGTAAGAACCTTGGACAAACGAACAAGCGGGGATGCGGAGGGAGCGGGGATACGGGGGATTCCCTTGGCGCCATTTCCCATATTTAGTCGAGGTGCATTTAGGGGGAATCCTCCTGTATCCCCAGTTCCCCCTGTATCCCTGCTACTTGGTTTCCCTGAAGCGTTTCAGAATGAATCAACCCCTGGCTGCCATTCAGATCGGCATCCCCCAGCTTGGTGGAACCTCCCGTGCCCGGCCCGTGGACGCACTAGCCAGTGGAGCTGCGGGCCAAGGACTTCAATGGATATACAATCACTGGCCACTTTACATTATATATAAATAAATATAAATATATATATATATATACGCATATATATATATATATATATATATATTATCAAGCAAGAACACGTAGGCACCGTTTCCTCAGACTGCTGTGTAACCTGGATAAGCTCCAGGTTGCACAGCAGTCTGAGCAAACTAGGATGTGCATATAAACACAACAAATATATACATAGATTGCCATACATATTGTATAAATCAATATATTTTTTTCAGTCTATATGTGTAGCATGTTCACCTGGATCCCGGTAGCTCGGCTACAAGTTGAAGCCATCAAGCCGTTCCTCGGCTGTAGGTGATCTTGATCGCTTCCAAGTCCTGAGGGCTCCGCAGCGGTTCTGGTAGCGTGGAGCTGAATGGGGGGTCCAACACATGTTCGCACCCAGCTGAAGACTCCCGGCTCCTCCTTTTAGGAAGCTCTTGTTTTTCCAGGGCCTCTGAAATGCAAGGGTTCACTGGAGGGGGGTCATAAGCCTTAGTGTGGTGTCTATATTGGTAACTAAGCGTTTTGAAGTGGGGAGGGATTGCAAAAAAGGGCGCTCTTGGGCAAAAGGGAAATGAACCGCATTCAATGCCAAGCACAAGTGGGGCATTCATGTTTTAGAATATCAAGTTGGGCCCTTCCCCTTTGCAGAATCCCACAACACAACTGGGTTCTCTCTGCAAAAGACAAGGTTCGGAAACCAATACACCTGCATGGCCCTAAAAGATGTAGTGCATGAAATTATTCGACCAGCCTCCTTTCCCGCGTGAATCTCACGAGAGCCCAACAGACATGCGAAGAGGGCACCATTTGAAACAGGTTTCCCTTCTCTAGTTGACTGACTCGGAAATCTCGGATCCAAATCTGCGGAGGGTGTCTATGCGGAAATGGCATGAAAATGGCAACCCGCTGCTACCGGCAAAACCTGTTGCAAGACCTGTTTTTGACCTATTAACCTTCTTCCCTGGCGCTCTGTTTCACAGCTTCCCCTATTCTGATCGCCTTTGTTGGTTTTTGAGCCCCTTGGGCGCTCCACCTTCCAGGGCTTGAGTTAGATGGAAAAGGTTCTCCCCCCCCCCCCAAGCAGCCAACAAATCTAAGTCGACAAATACTTCCACGCAGGAAAGCTCCATGGACATGACGAAGGAGACCACCCCACACACCCCATGCTAGTTCTGGGCCCTATGGATTCGACGGCCACAGGAACTGAGACCAGCGGAAGAAACACATCGACTTGAAAGGGAAAGCTCCTGCCAAGCGAAAGAAATCGGACAACGCCAATGGAGCTTGGCTGTCCAGACCTGTTTCTATTAGAGGACAATGGAAACCTGCACTTTCGGCGATTCAGATCCAGGCAGCAAAAGGACAGTCCGAAACTTCAGCATAAGGCAAAACAATGGTGCACTTATTTTGGCTCTATTGGGAACAAAAGGCACTATACATACCAAAGGGCTTGAATCTTGATCTGGATCTTCTTTGGCACTAAGGCAGCAAAGAACATCTCGTCCACGTCCAGCACGGCTCCTGGGCGAAGTTCGATCCCTACAAACTTGACGTTAAGCCCCTCTCCTCCATACCCGTGTGTTATGATTCGAAGACCCACCAAATGGCGGTGCTCCTCTTGGTTTCCCTTCAAACCAGACCTGAAAGGGTACCCTTGTTTGAGCACCGCAGAGTAGAACCGACCTCGGTCAAGGCAACAGTTGCCCATGTGTACTAAGCCAAACGTCTAAGATTACTTTTGGGATTGTTGTGAGTTTCGTGAGTTCCCAATCCTTGAGCAATGGCGGAGGCATGGCGCCCGAACGGAAACTTCGCACGATGCGCGTGGGAGCACTTCGGACCCCGGTCGCGCCTGCAAACCCAAAAGACAGCTATGACAGATGTGCAATGATTGGGTTCCTCTGCTTTGAAAGGGGTGGCGCACGGAAAGGGTGGCAACATGTCATCTTTCTACTGGTCATTACATCATCAGACATCATTATGATCTGATTCAAATCATCCGGTTTTTTCCACCCTGGTCTGTCCAGAAACCGTGCCTGGCGATGTCGCTAAGGACGTTAGGCCCTGCCCGGATGCTGGGGATGCAACATGTCGTGCAGCGTGCCCTATCTCAGATACTAGTGGTGTGTAGCTGTACAGGGACCAGCGCCCAGCATCCCCAGCAGCACCCGGTTCGGTACAGGAAATACGTTTCTCTTATTTGCTACTTGCTCACAGGGACAAGGGTTAAAACGAGCTAAAATGACGGCCCCAGTGGCGATGCAGATGCAAAGGACACTTTTTGCGTGTTCCGTCCCAGATACTAATAGTGCACACCCACCGGACCCGTGATCCACGCGCGAGGCGCCTAGCGCCACTGCGTTGAGCATCAAATCGGAGATCGAGGTGGTGTTGGCCAGCCACACAATCCCCGCATAGAGCCTCGGGTTCGCTGTGAGATTCAGCCCGACCGAACCCCCCCCTAGCCCCCCCCTCCCCAGCAGGCCTTCTCCAGAGAAGGCCCTTACCCTGAGGTCGTATAAGGCTCTTAATTGGGAAGACGCGGAGGGGAGGCATGGGGGGGTGGAATCCTATCATTCTTGGGCAAACTAAAAAGCGGGCACAGTGTAAGAGGCAGAACTCTGATTCTGAGAAGCCACAGGAAGCTTGCAAAAAAAACAGTCTTGGTGGGTGCACCCATAGAATTTCCGGCTGGTTTCCACGACTCTCGGGGGTGTCGTCCCAAAGTCGTGCTGCTAAAACCTTGCCCCTCTGCTTCTTTGCTCTCATCTTACAGCAGGGTGCAAGATCATGGTACAATTCCCGGTAGATGGAAGACAACTAGACCAAACAAGTGTGGAGCCTGCAATTGTAAGCTTGTCGCGAGGGCCTCGGCTCCCTGTTTGGGTACTTTATAGAGCCCCTGATGAAAGCTTCAAGGCTACCACTGTCAACGTGAAGTCTTGACGCGTCGACCTGGACCCGAAGAGTGCGGAAGCATCGCGTTGCCAAGATTGCCAGGACAGATGTTGTATATGTCCCTGAAGTCAAAAGAAAAAAAACGAATCGTACACTTGTACGTGTCTTGCTGACAAGGCGGGGAGTTCGCGCTGAGCACCTAGCCCAAACAGAAAAAAACTCCCCGGCCATCGTTTTGTGAGATGTGTCCTCTGAGTCGGTGGCTATAATTTGCCAACCTAAACCAGTCAGGTTAGGCACTTGTTTGAAACCATAAAGCAAAACAAACTCAAAGCGCACCTTGAATGGGGCCTGACAAAGGTCCTTTCTGGAACCTTTTTTTTTTGGAAAGAAAAGTCAACTTGGCAGTAGCCCAAAGCAAGAAACCTTCACTCGGGCCCTGCTCGTCACGCAGTTATCGCAATGCAAAAGACTCCCCTTCTACCCTTACAAAAGCGCAGGGATTTAGTTTGGGCTCAATCTACTCGACCCCAATGGTTGGTTTCATCTTGGGTCCCCTTTCATCCAACGGATAAGAGTCCCCCTTCCGCAAGAACCGCACCCATTTAAAAGCCGCCCGACCATTTCTTTCGCACCTGTCAAACTCACTGCCTTCTCTCTCACGATAGTCTCCCAGCGACCGGTGAAGGGAAAGGCAATGGAACCCTTTGACTAGGTTGGCAACCAACTGTAACAAAAGCAAAAAGAAACAGCACCAATAAACTACCCCGCCACATATGCTGGACCATGGACATCAAAACCAACCACCACACCTCGGAGCGGCCCGAATGAAACATATGTTGGTTTCGGGCCAACCCAGGTTGTCTGCCCTCCACCACCATCCAACAGAAACACGATTTGTATGGTTGTGAAAGAACCAACCTTTCTGTGACGCAAAGTCAAACTGTTTATCAAGTGGCAAATAGTGGCAACCTTCGACCTAGCACTTTTGTGAACAACCCTCATTGGGTCCGTCTCCAAATTTAGGGAAACCCTGAAATCGTGTTTTCTCTTTGGCTTCCAAACAAAACTGAAGGTGCTACCCTCAACCAAACATGTCCCCTGTGACTCTTTCGTCTCCTCCAAATGCCTGCGGAATACAAGTTGGACTTGTTGGCCCCCTTTGTAAGTCGTCTTCCCACGCTTTCGACAAGGTTGAGCCTGAAGTAAGTCCTCGACGGACCCCTTCTGGCTCGAAAAGGGAAACCACAAGGGAATCATCAATTTTGGAGGCCTGTTCCTTGGCCCAGCTTGGTAGTCACCCGGACCCTCAAACTACCCTTAAGAAGGATAATTCACCCTACAACGTTGAGCAATAGTCCCAATTGTTGGGGGTAGTTTGAGAGTCCAGGCATAAGGGCCGAAATGCTTAGATGCGTTCTTCCTCCGGTCGAATTCTGTCGCCAATCATCCTTCGGCCGAGGCGCAACAGTCCCGCGATGGTGGCCCGTGCCAGGCGCGCGAGGACGTAGGAAACAAAGCGGAGGTAGGACATGGAGAGAAAGCGCCCGTCCTGAAAAAATCGGCGGGGCAAAAGCCAAATCGGTTAGCCCCCGAACATCCCAATCCAACCACTAAAATAGGCTAAATGGGTGGTGCACCTAAAATGGTACCATTGGTTTTGACCCACAGCCAGTTGTTCCCCAAGCTTGCTGATCAGTGGAACATCGACAGGTATTTGGGGAATAAACCCAGAGATTCCCTTGAGGGACACCATAAGGAATGGTTCGTAGGGGTCATTCCCTCATTCCCCTATCTATGCAGCAAGGTTTCCCCGCTTGATCCCCGCGGGTTATTCCTGGGTTGTTCCCTGAAGGGGTCTTCAGAAATTCAATTCCCAAAGTCCACTGATTGCGAGCTTCGAAGGAGCGAAAGGTTATGGCAGGCTCGCTTGTTATCGAGCAAAGCTCAACCTGAAAGCCTGACTCAAAATCCGAAGTCGGTGTGTCTTTTTCCCAAACAGCTGAAAGGTTTGGGGTCTTTGCCCACCCAGACAGGCTCCGGGTGCCATGGTCGAGGTGATTCCCAGAAGGGTTCGGGGAAGTGTGGGGCGGTTTTCCGAGTTCTGGCGATGCCTACTGTTGGCGATACTACCTGAGCTTACTACCCCTTTTTAGGTTGGTTTTTAGGGCACCCATAAGGACAACCACCATTTTGGGGTGCAAATCCTGAAAACGACGCGTCAGCCAAATGGAGACATGAAAAGGTCGCTGGGAAAGTGAGGCATCCGCCAACCTCCTAGCCCAAGCTTTTAAGCCAGGGAGAGCATCTAGGTTCCTTTGGGTGCCACTTGTAAAAATAAGCCACTGATTCATCACCGGCTCTTTTTGAGGTCCAAACGGTTTGAGCCACCCCCTTCCGCATTAGAGCCTAACCTCTCTACAAGAGTGGCCAACCCCTTGGGGGGCTCAGGTTTGCTCCTTGAGAACATCTTAAATTCCCGAAAAGCTGCCGTCCTTGAACTTGGTCTCCCAGCTCCGCGGGATTTGCGCGACCTGAACTGAACCACGCGCCTTTCAGCAAGACTACTTCGGGCTTCCCTAGATTTCGCCTTCAAACATCACCCAAGGAAACTCACTTAACACAGGGGCAACCAAAAGGTGATGCTGAACACGACCAAGCGAGGTATAAGGGAAACCCGAATTTTGCCAAGGCTTCATCAGCAACTCCAACTTCATTCCACTCAAAGAGGAATCGGTCAAATGGCAAAACCTGTGCTGCCCAAGAAAGCCAGGCCTGCAGCCCCTAGTAGTGCACGATTTCAGCACAGCAAAGGACACTCGAGAGCCAGAAAACCATCGAAGTGCAAGAGGAGGGTTGTTGCATCAAGTGTGTGATCTGCTGGACATGCGTCAATGTTCACTTGGAAAAAATAATATTGAAGGGGACCCCTCTGCCTAAATGATATCCACCCTAAAGTCCCCAACGAAAATTAATACCCACTTAGATTCCATGTGTACAGTGTATCTCAAAAGACCCTCGTATGTGGAGCTGGAATCGGGTAAAACACTCTGAGTACTTTATCATTCAGTCACATAGGAGTCGACACAGAGTTTAGCTTCTCTGGCGAGTGTCCAATTCAACGTGAAAGGAAAAGCGCAAAAGCTTCCCCCGGCCTACGAGTGCCTTCTGCATGGGTCCCTCCAGGTGCGGCTCTGAACTGACAAGCCTTGTTTGAATAGGCGGGCTTCCCCTGAGAGTTCTACTTCAGCCTGGTGACCCTGGCTTTGCTTTCCCGAGATCTCGGTGATGAAACGGTTTGTCGCTGAGTGCTGTTTTCCTGGGCCTTCCCTTCAAAACGACCCCCAAACAGTCTCCCTCCTAGACTTGCTTGTTTTCAGCGTCGACAAGCCCTCAACAGGTGCTGACGGAACACGGCGCCTCTGACACACACCATGTATAAACGCCCATCTGGAACGATATACTAATTGGGAATATACGAAAGTTATAGATTTCGCCGATTCCTTGTGCGTTCTAGTCTAACATAACTCCAAGGAGCATTCGCCAGTATTTATCACCCAGAATGAAGCTTTATGCGTCTCTGATCAATGAACCAGGACCAAACGGCAACTCTTTGTCAAGAAATGCCTCAGTGGACGTTGAAGAGAAAATCGCAAAACAAACCAAAACAACACCACTTGTTGCGGCTCTTGGGAACCCCAGCCTAAAGCAAAGGAAAGAGGGACGTATGCGGTGAACTTGTCACGACTGAGATCAGTTTAGTGAGATTGCATGGGCCATATGGACACCGGAAATCCCGATAACCGAAGCAATTTGTTGCTATCCGCAGCTACCTTCGGATTCAAAGGGATCGACTCTTCTCAATCTGGGTGCTAAGGAGGTTTGGACAGAGAGGAGAATCCCCTTTGTCTTCAGGACACGTGAGAAAGCCCACGTATCAGCGCTCTGATGAGAAAACGCAGAATAATAAATATTGCATACACGTGCAGTTTGCTGCTCCTGCTGATTCAGCCCAAGCGAACGTGTCCACAGCAAGTGCTCCGGAGTTGCATGGGTTTTTTTTCGCCAAGTCTGGCAGTTTGCAGTGCCATCAAACAACGTCCCGGTTTCTTTGAGCCGTAGAACAAGGCTCTCTGCCTCAATGTCTTCTCCCCCCCCCGAAAGAAACATGACCTTGCGCCTGCTCTTCAACCAGCCGCCCGTTTCGCGCCGACTTTCTATGGGGAAAAGGGACGGCCACTGCGCACGTGTGCGAATTGGCGAACTGGCCCGAGGAGCTGCTTCCAAAGAGATGAAAATGGCCCGGAACTCGTGGCAAAGGTACAGGCACCACAGCAGGATGCACAGCATGCACAGCAGGATCCCAGGGCGCAGGCCTGCCTGGGGATCAGGAAGGTTCCCACCTTTGTCTTTAAGCAAAAAAAAAGACATGTGTGTGGCCTTGTTGATGTAAATACATACTCGTATACACATTTGCTCGTGTGTACTTCGCATATAGAGAGATAATATCATGACACATCGATATGAGAAGCAAAAAGAAGCCTGGGCGTCTCCTCACCGCTTCGAGAAAGGCACGAAGGGACATGGGTCAAAGTCGGAAGCTGAACTCCAAGGCTCTGAAACGTCGAACTCAAAGGCCGACCGCCAACTGAGGGGAAGTCATGGGGAAAACGCAGGCTCTTTGTGCAGCTGCGCCTTCCGTGTGCCTTTGCTTGGTTGTTTCACGAAAGGAACATCACCCATGTTTTTAGTTGGGGGGCTCTCTATGTTGCAACAAACCAACATGCTCATGTCACGACGTTGTACTTGTGTACTATTGCCGGGATTCAGCAGATTGCAATTGACTCGAACTCCCACATGGTCAGATCAAAGTCTGGTCGTATGGATTATGGGAACCCACGTTAATCCATGTTCATTGCCTTGCAGGTCTCACCCACTAAGCCATGACGTATTTGGTCAGCGAACAAGCGAGCGGCCACCAGGGGTCCTATGGCTTCATGCGCCAGGTGTCGTGGCGAGTTTGGCTGAAATGGGACAACCTCCTATGCCATGATCGAGCGGCTTATTGATCTAGGAGGGGTAAGGGTACAGTAAATGGAATTACCTGAAGGACATACAATAAACGGTATGCAGTGGGTGTACACTGGCAGGCTTTTAGAGGCAAATTCATACCACTTGCCCATTTAACCTTTTCCAGACGGATTCCTGACCGTCTGTTCTTGGAACCGTCGAACAAGGTCGTAGTTTTGGCTGGGTGTTTTCAAGTGGGATGCGGAACCTTCGAAAATAGATGTTTGGTATGATTTGAACATTATTGTCAGATTGTTCTTGTTGCTTTGTCAACCTAAGCTTTAGCCAGACAGACAGACAGACAGACAGACAGACCGACAGACAGACAGACAGACAGACAGACAGACAGACAGACAGACAAACAAACAGCGACAGCAACAGCACCACCAGCACCACCAGCACCACCAGCAACACCAGCAACACCAGCACCACCAGCACCACCAGCACCTGCCACCACCGCACCAGCACTAGCACCACAGCGACGACCCCGACCACGACCACCACAAAAAACAAGAACAAGAACAAAAAACAAAAAAAAGAGGAATAATAACAACAAACAAACAAACAAACAAACAAACAAACAAACAAACAAACAAACAAACAAACAAACAAACAAAAAAACAGACAGACAGACAGCCAGCCAGCCAGACAGACAGGCAGACAAACACACACACAGACAGACAGGCAGACAGACAGACAGACAGACAAACAGACAGACAGACGGGCAGGAAGACAGGCAGGCAGGCAGGCAGGCCGGCAGGCAGGCAGGCAGGCAGGCAGGCAGACAGACAGACAGACAACAACAACAATACTAACAATTCCAAGAACAAGACGAGCACACCAATACTCAGTACACATCGCAGCCCCCATCTGCGCATTCGCAACGCGATTCGCCAGGCCACGGGATTGAACTCGGTGGTCCCGAGACCTGCGGGGCGTCTGGCGGGGGTACTCTGAAAGCCGGTGGTATCCGGGCGGTCGCTGAGGGCACTGATGATTAGATGCATGATCTGAATGATGTATGTAGTTTGGGAAACCTAGTTGGAGCTGGATATGTTTCATCCGGAAGCGTGTTTGCCCTCGAGCTTGAGGGAAGCTAAACCAACAAAGCAAAGGAACAAGTTAACCAATCAATCAATAAATCAATCAATCAAATCAAATCAAATCAAATCCAATCAAATCAATCAATCAATCAACCAACCAACCAATCAACCAATGAATCAATCAATCAGCCAATCAATCAGCCAATCAATCAAATAAATCAATCAATCGATCAAACAACCAAGCAACAAAAACAAAGAAGCATGCAAGAAGCGCACGCTAGTCCCTGCCAGCCCACCAGCCAACGCACGCCCGCACGCCCGCACGCCCGCACTCACTCACCTCGCCTCACCTCACTCCTCACCTCACTCCTCACCTTACTCCGCACCTCACCTCACCTCATTCACTATTCAACCAACTGAGTAACCAACTACAGAACTAACCAACCAACTGACTGACCTGCTAACCAACTCAAACATCACTAAATAGGAAACCATCAACAGCGTTGTCTTGTAGTTGAAAGTCCTCAGATTTGCCTGGAATGTTTGAGAGACTCAGCCGCCGTTCCATCTTCTCTCAAAATAAGTGGTGCCAAACTCATTCAGATCCCCCGCAAACCCTATGCCCAAGGCCTGGCTTCTGCGCCATCGGGCCCCGCCCCCGACTCGGCGATCGAGGCGCGAGCCTAAAAAGGAGTTGATCTGGCTGATCAAGGAGGCCTGGTTGGTAGAGACAATGAGGCCATTGTCCTGGTTGCACACGCGGGAGACCTCAGAGCGATGCAAGCCGGCGAAGCGCTTGCTGTCCCAAGAAACAGACGTGGCGTGCCCGTGGATTCAACCAAAGGACGCGGCAACGCTTGATACAGAAAAGAAACAAGCCGCTCTGATGTTCCTTTTCTTGTAAACAATGCCAAGTAAGCAAATCACTGACTGAAAAGGAGAGCTGTGAGCAGTCCAAGGAGTTTTTGTGGGAATTATCCTGGAATTATCCTGGCACTGGGAACGTGCTTTCTCCGAGGAATACATCGCGCGTGAAAAGCATGAGACAATCAGTTTTGCAAGCCAGCGACCTTCTAATTCACTAACAAACTCCCCAGCTAACTCGCCACCTATTTGCCCAGCTGGGGCCTAGCTAAGTACTAGTCACTCCAAGTAGCGAACCAGCTACCTATCAAACTACCTGGAGTCTCCGTAACCCTTAAAAAATTGGGGGTCATTACCCCAAATAACGGGGTCACTGACCCATTTGGTACAGGGTCGTGGAGACTCCAGGTGGCCACTTGGCCGGCGAAAAATTGCGAACTGGCCGGTTCGGCCACCAGCCAACCGGCGCCCACTGGCCAACTCGCTCGCTTGATGTCAAGTACTTCAGGAGCAAAACGCAAAAAACAATCAAAAAAAAAACGGGATGCAGATTCACAGCATGCATGTAAAAGGAACCGCCTGACTTGTAGCTGCTTCATGCTTCAAACTCCCTCTTGGCTGGTACAGCAACACAAACCAAACATCTAGTATTCTTGCAACTCGCCGCGTTGCCCGGGTGGTTTTCTTTCCTGAGTGCATTGACAAACAATGGCCAGGCATTTTGCTTGCGACTAAATGGGCTTTCCAAGAATGTTCTTCGAGTCCAGAATCTCAAGGAGCGAGCATCCCCTCGCGACTATCCATCCCATTTACTTCCCTCAAAAGTGCTTGTAATAAAAACCTTCATGCTTTTTCATGGCATTTGTATGGACTCGTTGCTTTGGGCTGGCGGAACAACTAATCACTAATAGCTTTTGGCTGCTGCTTGGAGTTCAAAAGCAGCTGGCATGTAGGAGGGACATCCTCGATGTGTCTGGTCGAATGATGTCACATGCAATCTAAAAGCAGTTTGGGTGCGCGTCAAAGTAGGGAGACCCCAATGGATTCCATCGAGTTTCCTTTGACGTCCATATCCAGGGCCCCAAGAAACCAGCAGTCTGGTCGGAATAGTTCGCCCTTTGCTCCCTCCCAAACCTAAGGACCGTGCTGAAATGGGAATTCGAATATGAGTATCGGGTCAAAATGAAAGCACCAGACCGCCCGCAGGTAGTCCTTTCCATTTGCCAGGGCAATCCATTTTGGGGCTACCCTACTCTTTACCCACACCTTATGCTTGCTTCGTGGGACCCACATGTTTTGGCCGGTTTTCAATTGGAGCCCAAAGATTGGCCGGGAACGCACCAAAAAAGCTACCGTTGCACACTTTTGAGGCTTGTTCCCTTTTTGGGGTGAAACGGCTTCGCCAACGATTGGTTGACGACTGGAAACCAGACACAAAGATCTCCCGACTGCACCAGACACACAAACATATATCCTTCGCTTGCCGTGGGGCCAGACTGGTCATCGCCAGGTCCATGTGCTTGTAGTCGTGGGCCACCTTCTGGCGCCAGGCCTGCGCCGCCTGGATCTCCGCCACGAAGGGGTTCCCCAGGAAATCCTCGCGGGAATGGGACGCGCCTCTGGGGATTGATTCCATCTTGGGCTAGGGGTTCTGTAAGGACATACCTGGCCTGGCCCTCAACCCATGAAAATCTGGGGGTTGATTCCTTGTCCATTTTGTTCAACCATCGTTCTTTTTCAAGAACCAGCTGCTTTCCCAGTGTTTTTGGTGGTTTTGTGGAAAGAAGGATCCCTGGAATGGGGAAGCTACCCCTGGAGCTTTTCTCTGGGGCTCCCGAAAGTCTGGAAAGAATCGCAATAAACCCATCCCCTTTTGTTTTCCCGGTTGAGTAAATCAATGGGCTATGTAGCGCACAGCTTTTCGGGACAAACAAATGGTTCCCCAAACAGCGTCTGTCAGCTTGCCCCGTGATTGCTGGAAAGCGGACCTGCCAAAGCTGAAGGCAAGACACTCAATCAGGTATTCATTCCACTCAGCTTTCTTTGCTGGCCACCTAGTAAAATGTAGCCCCCCTCAACAAATCATTTCACTTTGTGGACAACCCGGCAAACAGAGCAAATGTTTCAAACGGGCTCGGGCACTGGGACTATACGAGCCTCTATGGGTCTCAGTTTCCGGAACGAGCATATCTGCGTAGCCTGAACCCCAACCCGAGACCAAGACCTAACAACATGAACCCCGAACTGGAGCCCGGTTTGCCTCTGGTATTCCTTTTCAACAGCACCCCCCCATCCAAGACAAAAGGATACCTTCGGAAAAAGACGTCCAACACCAGTCTCTGGCCACCCCGACCTCTTGATTAGCTTTGGAAAACTACAGTTTCATTCCCAAGGCCGAATTCTAAGTCCCTGGCCGCACAATCTTAGCCGGACCACGAATCTGGCCTCTGAAAAACGTACCATACTCAGTGGCAATCACCGCAATCACACGGGTACAGGGTACAAGGCCGCTCCAGGAACACCAACACAAAAACCATGCGGGTTTGGGTGGAGCAATCAACCATAGAAAGTGTACATGGCATACGCCAAATTTAGGAGACACTGCGGCTATCCAACTATACAACGGGCATGGTCATAAAACTCAGGGGTAGGTTCGAGGTGAGTCTACGTGTTGCTAAGGAAACTCTCGGAATGTGATGCTTAAAACCACCTGTCAAGGCAAAAAAGAGAGAATCCTGCTAGAGCAGGTTCGGGAAACGACAGGGAGGAAAGAGTAACCTGCCTGCACGACGCCATGATTCAGAGGGCCATGACTCTGTCAGACTGGAATCATGTGTGTTTCCGAATGCCTCCAATTGAAATAGCGGCAAAAGGGTACCTGCGCATGGGATGACAAGCCTCAGTCAAAGGCAGACTTCCGGGGCCAAGGGAGGCAACCGTTGGATTCGCCTAAAAGGAGTTGTCCCCAGGCATTTCAGAGTTGTAGGCTTGACACCTGGGGGCCCTGGGGGGTTGTTCCACCCTGGGGTTACTACCCACTTGACTTCCGGATCCATGCCAGGTGTTTTGACAAGCCACTTGACTTCTGGATCTATGCCAGGTATTTTGCTTCACACAAATGATCCTGTGACAATCTCGTATGCTGGATCCCCTCTAACATGGGGTGTTGGCCAATCAAAAGCCACCGGGGTTTACGAATCCTGCGTTCCCACTGAACACGACCCCTTTTCAACTGTTTTGGGGTCCGTTTCTCCAACCCTGCCAGCCCGGGTTGCGTTCAACCCACTCCCAGACCAATGCCACGGTTGCAGAAATATATATATATATATATATATGTATCTTTCAGTGATGCCAACGTCGACTTCCATGACTACTTCACCCCTTGCTAAGGGCGCTGGCGCTCGAACCTGGCAACATACCCAATTTTCCACACCATGCCACACTTGGACGGGAGCCAAAGCCTCGCACACCCGGAACGCGGATACGCCCAGCCCCCGCCCAGTTGCAGCTCCTGGCCCATCAAGATCACCGCAAAGGTAATCTGGAGGCCGGCGCTCACCAGGAGCATCAAACAGGCGATCGCCTCAAGAAACGGGGCTCGAGTTTTCGACCAGCAAGCCACTGTCGTAACCAGCCATCGTTTAGGCTTTTAAAAAATGGCTTCCTTGTTGTCTACAGGTAAACAGATCCACTGCAGGTACTATAAAATCCAACAAGACAGACTGGGGGTTGCGGGGTACCTTCAAACTGGCTTAAGTGATGATAGGAGCAGAATGTTGACAGATCTGGGCGTATTGCTGGTTTCAGTTTCTCCACAAATCGACACGTGTTGCTACTCAGTGGAGGAACATCGCGGTATCATATGTTTCCAAACAGCTGTTCTACATCAGTTCTTCCACACAGTTCTTCCAAGATCACAATGGTCTTCCAAACAAATATTCGGAAACAAAAACAGTTGTTGAGCTTTTTGGAAAACATCACGTCCTTATCCAAAAAAACGTCAGCGTCCTTTTCAAACCTTTTGGGGGGTAGCGTATTCCCCACGTCGCCCGCTCGCCCCGCTCGCCGCCGAGGCGCAATGTCCAGCCACCCCGCCTCGGTGAAGCCCAGGACCTCGGACCCGACCGGCCCCGTCGTCTGAATCCGATTCGGGTCAGATTCCGCGGCTTCAGAAAGCGACGCCCCAAGTCTCGGACTCTCAGAAGAAGCCCCTTCTCCAAAAGTCACGACCCCAGGATTCAAAAAAAAGGGGTTGAGGACCTCCCCCCGAGCCAAGTCCGGAGACTCTGCCAACCCGCAAGGCTCTCTTTCGGGAAGGCTTCCTTCATTGGGATGGTTCAACCTCCAAACCGGAACGACTTCAACCAAAAGGCACCAGGTTTGGGTTCGGGACATTTCCCGGGCTCCAAGCCAGCTTTGGAGACAGTTTGAAGACAAACAAGCACTCTCAAGAGAGGCACATTCGACTGTCATTTCGCCATCCACCTTCCCACCATCCGAGAAAAAGAAAAACACAAAAACATGTTCAACCGTTTGGGCGTGTGCCAAAATTGGGATTCGGACCCCCCAAAAAATGGATGGTTTCCTTTTGGTTTCCTTCAACCAACTGCAAAAAGGGGACCTTGGGAGTCCGACGGTGCCAGCTTGAAAAGAACACCATACACATTGCTCTGGTAGTTGGGTTGTTCCATTTTGAGACGCTCCCCCACATATATGGGTGGTTTTTCTTTGAGGCAATCCCAAAACCCTTCAACAAGTCACGTTTAAACGCTTGAGACATGGCAAAAGGAGAGTCCCTAAATTCGTCAAACGGGGCCAATCCCTTGTGGATTGAATATCTCCCTGTGAACTATCAACTACCTGGACCCTCAGATTTCCCTTACCAATTGGTGATCGCCCCCAAAATCTTGGGGTCGATTCTCGTTTGATGGGTTGAGGGCCAGGCCAGCTTCAGCTCCCGAACTCAGGTAACGACTCGCGGCCAGGGCTTTTCGGAAACCCAAAGTCGCTAGATCTAAGGGAAAAAACCGAACAACAGAACCATGCTGTGACTTTGAAAGCCCAAAAAGTATACTTCCATTTGCACAAGTCCCCTGGAAAAGATGAAGCATATGTTCTCCAGTCATAGATTCCGCTTAAAATAAAACCAACTGCGAACAATAACAAAACACATGTTCTTGAGTACATGGAAGGATTCTGTCAACTCTCCTGTGGGCCGGTTGACGAAGACGTATAAACAAAAACAGGTCCCGAAGCGCGTTTGTTGTTCCCCAAGGACGGACTTAAACATTCGAAAGTTTACTGGAACATCTCACTTTGTCCGCGCTCCCATTCAGTAGCACATCTCACTTTTTTTTGTTTTTTAAGTGGTTCCCCCCCAATGAGTTCCATCCCATGGGACCAATTTTGTGACCCAACCCAAGATACCGCAAGTACCTCTGGAAGTTCAAAGAGGCGCCATGTTCATGGGACCTTTTGTGCCCAACCCGAGTACCTCATGGGAGTCACAATCAAAACCCGGTACAAGAATGGTCGACCCAGAACCATGTAAAGAACTCAGGCGGATATCCGCAGCTATTTGTGGCTATCGTCCCTTAGCTTCATCAACCCAGGTTTTGAGCTCGTGGCTCATGGGCAGTTTCCTCCTTCCGACCCGAGGCGCCAGGACCAGGTTCCACGTGGACTCCAGGAAGGCCACGGGCTCCAGCGGTACCCAGCGCTCCGCCCGCACCGAGACCTCCGAGTCGCCGTCCGAGACGTCCAGCGCCTCGTCCACGGGGACCTGAAGCGCGAGGGGCGCGAAAAAAGTGGGGTCGGTGGCGAGTGCTGGGTGACCCCACAAAATTGGGTGACGCTGGATGAACCCACAAAATTGGGTGACCCCGGAAGAATTGCTTGTTGAGGCCAAGTCAAATATCATGCCTCAAATATCATGCCAAATTGGGACTTCAGCGACAAAGGCCGCTTTGGCGTTTGGGGGGTGGATTGGCGCGAGGGGGGGGGGGGGGCATCAGGATTGAGTATGATTTGGTACAACCAACCCCTGCCCCTGTAAAGGGACCCCAAGAAGGCTGTTGCTTTCAAAAAACATTTTGAAACATGTTTAAACCAGTTGGCCCAACCCTGACTAATTGCACCCTGTTCCTCCGTGCATGCTAAAATCGCCAGCAGTCAAGGACCTTCATCGTGGGAAAGCTCGAGTTCACCCTGAGGTGACATCCTTGTAGTTTGCCCATTGCGTGCGTGTACCAATTTTCTTTCATAATGGCTATGAAGCGATGAAAACAAAGCATTTCCCCTGAATGCCGGTCGTGCTTTGGTTGTGGTCTCACCCCCTTGCCATCTCCGAGAAAGAAACAGAAACATGATGAGGTTGCGGTCCGCATGGTTTTGTCGCAGAAGTAGGATGGACGCTCAAATTTGCCACAAACGTTTGGTTATCCCAACCAAAAGGAAACCAACGGAAGGGTCACTGGGGTCTTTCTCCGAGAAACTGAAGGATGCCTTCCACCCCACCTCTTGCCTGAAAACTCGCAGTAATATTCGGCAACCACTACCCCAACATGAATACAACCCAGGTGAACCTGGTAGAAGAAAGGGAAGACTTGGCCATTGAGGTTCCAACCGAAACCCGCAACTTTTTCAACAAAATACATGGTGCTGGAAAAAAAATCCCCCCACAAAGATGGGTGTGAGGTACCCCTTACATACTCTCACTCGAGTGGCTGAAGCCCAAACTGCTTGTTTGCCACGAAGATGGAATTCCCGAGAAAAAAATAAAAAAAATCCATGAACTTGGGCATTGGGCTCTTGGCTGTCAAGTGATTACATCCTCCCCTGTTTTCCCATTGACCAGACCACCTTTGAAACAATAGGGGCTACTACATACCCATTGTTTGTTGGAGTTTCATCAGCTAAAACGGGACACCGATTCTTTTAATGAGAGTTGCGTGAACCCTAGGGAAGGCATGGAATGAACATGCAAAAGGCAAACCGCCGAATCTTCGGCTCGATGCTGAGATGAGAACTCGTGAACAAACTGCTGGTTGACCCACTTAAGAGTGACTACTTCACTTGTTGGAAACACGCCCAACTTTTGCTCGCCAGGTGTTGCTCAAACATGGGGTCTAATTCAGTCAACATAGCTGGGTGCTTGATAGGGGGGGGAGGGCGGGGCTGAACAAATCCAAATATTATTTCCCCTCAGCGCGCTCGAGCGGAAAGCAATATGGATTCTTTAGCAAGACATAGTCTTCAGACACTCATGACGCCGGATTTGCCAACCTTGCGAATGAATGGAGTGTTCCCTCCAAAAGCAACGGTTTCCTCATGGAACTCCTGCAATCAATCAACCAAGCCTAGTTGGGTCCAAAAAGTTATCTCTTTTTGGGGGCTACTCCTTCCAGATCCATTCCCATTTGCAACAAATGAACAGGGCTCTCCGTGGCAAGAAGTTTAATAGTCACTAACATAGGTGTCCTTTTGAACAATAGATGGCAGTAGTAAATGATTCCCACCAACTTGCCCAGTGCCATATGTTTTCCACCAAACTGAACCAGAAAGGCCATGGTTTCTGCTGCAATATTCACTGACAGGTTGCAATGGCTCTGCTTGCTATTGCTCTGAATCACGACGTGGAGGGGGTTCTCAACATGGTGAACCCCTTAAATGGCGAAGGTGTCCTTTTGGTGCCCCATTTACCAACCAACCCGGAGTCCGAATCTCATTTAGAGAAACTCTCATATGGGTTCGTCTTTGACAACCCCGTTTTGGTGCTGAAACGGGACCAAAAGGAAACCGTTGCCATTTTGGGAGCCTCCAACGAAAGAGAGCACCTCTTTGGCAGTCGATTTAGGGGCCCCTCCCAACAAGAGTCGAAAGGACAAGCACCTGGGAATCGACATCCACGCCGACATCCGAGCTGCTACGGTCACGCGGCTCTTGCGAACGCTGGTGCGCATCTCCTGCGCACTGGGCATGCTGAAGCGCAAGGGCGGCAAAGCCGAAGGCGCCTTCCTCAGCTGAAAATTCCTCAACAAGCCTCGGAAAAGGTCTAGGTAGATGGCATACACATATATATACACATATATATATATATATATGACCAACCACAACAACAACCAACAACAAAAAAGGATTCCGATGAAACACAGACCGGTTTCAATCGAAAGCCCCACCTTTTCGGGAAGTGCTTTTGGGGTCTTTAACCCAAGAGCAGCTCTCCCCCGTGGCTCACGGGTCCCAAGAAAATTCGCCAAAGATCGTACGGTTCTCAAACTTAGAACCTCGATGGTTGCTTCGGCTATCCTTTGCCCCAAGAAAACAGCGAAGCCCCCATAAAAAGGGTAACAAAAGACATACATATCGACGCTGAGAAACATTGGACTTTTAATTGGGACCCCCACCAGTTTCCTAGAGCGGGGTTCCATTCATCCAATTGGACCCTCAACATAAAGAAGGGAATGTATCCACATAACTTTGAGCAATTACCCACTTTCAAGGAACTTTTGAGGGTGGTAGATTGACCCAGGCCTTGATTGGAATTGAGGCTGAGCATTCCTTGTGGCTCCATGTGAAAGGGGGTTAGAGAGGGGGCGCTTGCCATGCCCAGCTCATTGAGGGTACAACTTGAGTTTAAAACAAGCAATAAGTGACTGCAAGGCTATGGCTCCCAGGCCTAGCTCAGAAACAGCATATTTGTGAGAGGCTGCCCATACAAAGCGAACACTTCATGGGCAAGATGATCATTCTTGGCCCTTGAAAACGCCTTTGCAAAGGGCACCGCAGGCAAATGGCATCCGTGTGACCATCGGGAGGCTCAGCTGCGTGCGAATGCTAAGTGGAGCCCTTTGCTGTGGGACCCCGAAGCAGGCTTCGCTTTGGGTGACGTCGCAACCCCAAGTCCCATGCGAGGCTTGCGCTCAGTGAACCACGCCAAGCGTCAGGTCGGCCTTGTCCACGTCGCTGGTGTGTCCGGACAGCTGAGCTTCCAAATAATCGATCTTCGCAAAGGCCTGGAAGCGACTCGCGAACCGAACGCTTAACAAAGGACATATATTCCAGATTTTGAGGGAATTCACCAACCAAAAGGCATACCCCAAATGACTGCCCCGCCAGATGTGCGGTTGGGGTCCTGTAAAACAACCAAAGTTGAGGTTCACACAGAAAAGACAAGCCCAGGCCGGATATGAGTCAGAGAATGATCCCAATACATAGCAGCCCTATAGAGGGATCGGGATTCCCTTGGGGGCAACTTCTACCCACCATCTAAGCTACCCCGATCAGACGTGGCACCACTAGAAGGCCCCATGCAGAGAACTGGTCTGCAGGATCACCCAGTCAGTTTCCATACTTGTTGAGCCCAGCAAAGTGCTGCCGCTTCACGCGGACGGAATCAGTCTTGCAGACTAGGGGCCGCGGGCCCACAAAAAGTGGAGGGTTTCTTCTAGAATGGGAGACAGCCCGTTTCAATCAAGGGGCTGATGAATCCTGACTTCCCACTAAGCATGGGCACATCGCTCCACAATCCTCATGCAATACTGACCATTGAATCCACTTTCTTGGGTCGTTGCTACTCCCTTTATGCCTAACCATGACGGATTGAACATGCATGTGCACGGTTGATCAGTACAACGCGCGAAAGGATTCATGATATCTCACCGACTCGACGTTGCCAGGGCTGAACAATTCCAGTGCAGCGCCCACGCCATTTCTACAAAAGCGGCTGAAATAGAACTGCAGTGGAATTGTCGACAATGGCTCCGTTGGCTCGGATGGAGTCAGCCCATCCGAAACGCCAAAAGGAGCCTGATTGAATTGTTGAAATGGGGTTTGGCGCACCTCACACCTCGGGACTCAACACAGTCTACTTGCTTCGGTTGTTTGACGTTCGAGGAAAACCCACCCAAACAATCATGAGCAAAGCGTACCACTAGGCAAAGGCAGGGCGCGCCCATTTAAGAAATTTTAAACACCACTGGAGCAGGGTTTTCATATGTCATTATTGGCAACCTGCCAAGTAGTGGGATAGTTAAAGGCTCAACATGGGTATGGGTGGAAACTAAACCACCAGGCGACCGCAGGATTTAGTTGTTGTTTCCATTTAGCGGCTACGGAAGTCGTCCAGGGAACACGGCCAAAACACATGCCTTGCCATAAGTACAAGTGTATGCAGACTCATACATGTGTATACATACATGTATGTGTTAAACAAAAAACGTGTATGTACAGACTGTATTTATTTACAGACTCATTTGAGCGTATTTGCCTGTATGTATAGATATATACATATATATATATATATATGTATGTGTGTGTGTGTGTGTCTGTGTTAGCTGGATCCAAGAAGTTGTAAAATACATATATGTTAGTTCCTGCTGGAGTGCCCTCCGAGTACCCTGCGTGCGAGTGTGCGAGTGGAACTGGCGAGCGAGTGGACCAGTGGACAAGTGTCTCGAACACTCACGGCCTACTCGCACAGAACAGCAATAAGGTCGGTTTTAGACCTGACTACTTCTCACAAATACTGGGTTGAATTGTGTTTCCAAAAATGAGGTCTAAAGAAAAGTTCATATTTCTGTTCCAGTGAAAAGTGTGCGAGTGGGGCGCGCGAGTGTTCGCGTCCCTCGTCCAATCGGCCGCTCTCGCACACTCCACTCGTGCTCTCGTCAAAAAGCTACTTGTACACTAGTTGGCAAGTATGCATATATATATATATATATATATATATGTATTATATTAAGAAGGGGGAAAACACATGTTTACAGCCTCTTGGCACCAGCTACTTATTTGTATATATGTGCATATGTGTGTCTAACTGTTGGTACTTAAACTCACATATATATATATAGTATAGATTTACAACTATGTTGCGCATTCCTTTTCGACATATTTGCCACAAGCAAACAGCACCTGGGGTGAACAGAGCAACCCGACCTTCTGCAGCTCCATTTGGAACTCCTCCCTGAGCCGCAGCTCCAAGTTCCTGAGATGGTCTCTGCTTTTTTAGGGTACCCTTTTTGAGGTGATGTTCAAACGGGAACCAACTTTGGAAACTACCTCCGCCCACTCCCCCCCGATTTCAACAAATGCGTCTCATGTGGATGTTGCTATGTGTGTTTTCTAGATGCCTTGTTCATGTAGGACATGTGGGGAATCCTGTTTGTTTCTGGAAGGTGCGACGGGCAACCAACATGAAAAAATCAATGTGCTCAGGGAGCCAGTCACTGCAAAGGAAGTCTTTACGAGGCCCATTAACCCTTTGACCAAAAACACGGCCTTGGTGAGAGGGGGCTCCCCTTCCAAAATAAATGAAAAGGCACAACTGGAGGTGTGGGAGTTCTGGCCACCCTCCCCGGATTGGTTCAAAAGAGGGCGCCTGTCGAATTGGCCGAAGTCCCTTTCCGCTGAACTGGTTGAAACGCCTCATCTTGTGTTCCACAGAAGGAAAATGGAAGGGACCTCCATCAGGGAGCCCCCTTCCATACATGATTTACTCGGTGGGGGAAACGTGTATCAAGGGCTGGCTTGGCTCGGCACAAAATGAGTGAGTTGTTGGTAACCCGGCTTATAGCCCACTTAGGGGAAGCTATACGAGGAGTGAACTCTGTCATTCGCGGGTTACAAGCCAGGTGGCTACCCACTTTCTAGCTTGGCCCAACATTCAAGTGGAAAGGCCCCCTCCCTGGCCGGCTAGACCGCGTGTGTGCGTGTGCGGGTGCGTGTGGGTGTGTGTGTGTGACTGTCTCTGTGTGTGTGTGCGTGTTTGTGAAATGCGTTCGTGTCTGTGTGTGTGGGTGCGTGCGTGCGGGTGCGCGTGCGGGTGCGCGTGCGGGTGCGCGCGCGCGAGCAACGCGCGCGTGGGCGCGGGCGTGGGCCCGGTGGGTGAGTGTGTGTGTGTGTGTGTGTGTGTGTGTGTGTGTGTGTGTGTGTGTGTGTGTGTGTGTGTGTGTGTGTGTGTGTGTGTGTGTGTGTGTGTGTGTGTGTGTGTGTGTGTGTGTGTGTGTGTGTGTGTGTGTGTGTGTGTGTGTGTGTGTGTGTGTGTGTGTGTGTGTGTGTGTGTGTGTGTGTGTGTGTGTGTGTGTGTGTGTGTGTGTGTGTGTGTGTGTGTGTGTGTGTGTGTGTGTGTGTGTGTGTGTGTGTGTGTGTGTGTGTGTGTGTGTGTGTGTGTGTTTGTGTTTGTGTTTGTGTTTGTGTTTGTGTTTGTTTGTTTGTGTGTGTGTGCGCGTGCGCGTGCGCGTGCGCGTGCGCGTGCGCGTGCGCGTGCGGGTGCGGGTGCGGGTGCGGGCGCGGGTGCGGGTGCGGGTGCGGGTGCGGGTGCGGGTGCGGGTGCGGGTGCGGGTGCGGGTGGGTGTGTGTGTGTGTGTGTGTTTGTGTTTGCGTGTGTTTGTCTGTGTATCTGGGTGTCTGGGTGTCTGTGTGTCTGTGTGTCGGTCTCTGTTGTTCCGTGTTTGTGTCCGTGTCCGTGTCTGTGTGTGTGTGTGTCTGTGCACCTGCTGACATTTTCACAGACTCGCAAACCTGGGACAAGCCAGAAGTTTGTGTCCAATTGCACGGCCCTCCGCCTCGCGTTGCAAGGTGCTGCGGAAAGGGTTCGGGAATTGGCATTCTAGTCTGGACAAGGCGTCGGCATCTTCGCTTGTCACACCAAGAAAGCCTGGTCGCGCGCAAGCTCGCGGGCCGAGATTCACCGACCGACTTTGCCCAGATTTGTGCGCCTTCAGCGCTGCCTGTGCCAGATCGGTCAACTTTGGAAAAAGGATGCGCTCGCCCCGCGAGCACGCCGAGTTCGCACGGCTCTCCGAAGATCCCAAATCATGAGGCTTTAAAAGCCTCGTTCCACAACCGCACCCAGCTTGTTGAGGATTAGCTTGCGCGCAAGCTCGTCCGTAGCAGCGTCCAAGTCTGGGACACAGTGGCAAAACCCTTGCTCCTCAGCCTCTGCGATGAATCTTTCCTTTCCACCCAAAAGAGCACCCTTAACAATAACACAACCCATTTCAGCGTGTCTTTCTTCTTCAAGTTGCTTCTTCAGGGGTCCCCAGAATGGCTGTCTTCTTTTTGGTTTCCGTTTGACACCCAAAAAAGAGTACCCCTCAAGAAGACACACCCATGTTTCTGTTGCAATTTGGCAGGTGCCCCAAGGTGCGAAAAGCAAAGATGCTTGAGACGAGGCGCCAGATCTTCTTCTCCAGCTTCGCCGCTGACATGACGCAAACCCGGCTTGGTCAGCGCAGTTTGGGATGATGGGAAACACGGAAAGCGGCGTTGGGCGCTGCGATGCTGCTTGATTGGTCGCGTGATGGGTGCGTCCTTGGATAGTGGTTTGCTTGCTTGATGGTTTCTTGCTTGCTCAATGGAATTTGCACGAGTGATTGTTTGCTTGCTTGGTCGCTTCTGCGTGTTGTTTTGCGCTGCGTCTTGTGCCTCAAACAAAAACTGGTTGCCAAAATCCACAGCGAGAATAGCAGAGCCAAATAAAGCCAGAGGAGGTCAGTAGGGAGGCGAGCCGATGGCACAGGGTTGCTCCCCCTCGACCTGCGCAGGAGTAGACGCGTGGCACAAAGGGAAAACAAACGTCTACCCTTGCAGCAGGGGGGTGCAGATAGGCCCGCCAGATCCATGGCTGGTGTGTTTGAGGTCTGGTGCCGGGAAGGAGTAATCTTGAATCCAACCGGGGAAACCAACCTCACCGGCGCGCATCCCATCATGCATCCGGATTTGCCTTGCGCACCTGGTATGTCGCCAAAGGAAGAGCTACACATAAATATATACATATATATATATATATGTATGTATACATATATATATATATATACTTGTACATATTTGTATATATGCGATAGGTATACATGTTGGCAAAGTGTAGGGTGCTGTGTCACCTGTTGGCCTGATGCGAATCACCTGTGTGCGGGTGTGTCAGCTCGGCAGTCCACATCTGTAGCAAACGTTGGTTGCATGTTGTCCTTTTGCTCCTTTGCCTCCGCGAACGGTTGTTGTTGTACCCTGTGCCCTTTCCATTGTTGCTGCATCCTTTTCCTTTGACGCGCCCATGTTTCTCCTTTGGACGGATTGCCTTGCGCAACCGGTTGGTTGCACTGATTGCCGTTTCCCTTGCGATTGTTGCAGTAGTCAGCAGCCGCCGCAGCCTTTGGCCCTGCGGCGCTTTCCTTTGCCCTTGCGCTTGACTTCCTTGCCTTTGGCTTTGTTGTGCCATGTCGCGCCGGTGTCACTTGGTGCTAGTCCTCGGTTGCTGTTGTTGCTTGATGTGAGTGCTTGTAACTTGTTGAATGACTCTGTACTACTCTATCATCATTGATCTGATCTGTGCATACATTGTGATGTTTCCTGCTTGCAGTTGTAAGTGTGTGCTGTAGAGGTTGAGCTGTATTGCGGTTTTACCAGCATCCGGTAGTAAGGTGTTGTTGTACAGCTCGTGTTTGGCGAGTTGGAGTTCCCATGTTGTGAGCTCTCCTCGGGCTTCTGTTCGTTAAGCTGTGGGTTGAGTATCCTTTTCAGTACCCAATGCTTCGCGCACCAAGTGGGGAGTATCTGAGGTATAGCCGCCATGTCTCAAATCCGTTGTCTTGCATGGTTTGTCTGCAAACAGTTGATGCTGGTTCATCGCATGTTCTTACCCATATATAGTGTAAGTTGATGCTCAGTTGGACCCGTTGTGTTGCTACTGATTGTGAAGGTGCTGCCGCTTCCTGTTGACCATTTGTGACTTGTAGTTGTGATTGCTCTGACTGTCTCAGCAGTCTGTTGTATGCTGAATCTTGTAGTCCAAGCTATGCTGTCGTACTTCCATTCTTCAACTGTGGTGTGCTCTGCTGTGATTCTTGGTGGTGGTATCTTGTACTTGCGTATTCCTTCCAACTGCTGCTGTTGCTGCTGATGTTGAGCCGCCATTCCTTTCGTTGTGTATGGAAAGGCCTCCAGACCTTTTCCCAGTGTCGCTGTTGTTCACTGCCCCACTAACATGTTAACGTGAGTGCACTGATGTAAACCACCTGGGCGCGTTTGTATCAGCTCGGCACCGTGCTTTCCCGGGGACTTCCATGTACTGAGGCTCAAGGCCTGCTGGATGTTCAACTGGACAAGGTGTTAGGTGTGTGCATTTTATATATCCATATCTATATATATATATATATAGCGGCTTCTCAAAATGGTGGACCCGGGAAGCAACCAAGTTCTAGGGGCCGTTCCGAATTCGGAGAAACACCCATCTCGCGAAAGGGTGAATTCGGGTATCATGCGGGTACACCAGGGGAACCAAATTTTAGCGTCTGACAAACTGGGAAGAAGCACACGTGCTGAACTGGGTGCTAAATAGGCTACGGTATACATATGCAAGCAAACTGCCTTGGAGGCAACTCAGTATGTGTCAAAACATGTAAGGGGGCCCCAATAAAATGGTTGCCCATTTGTTTCAATTGAAACCGAAGTGAAAAAGGTACCCTTGAAAGCGCACAAAACATCCCCTTTTGGTTCCTGTGGATTTCAGTGGAAAATGACAACTTGGCAATTGTGCTCTCAGGTTGCCTTGGGAGCTAAACTGCTGAACTCCTGGCTGATTGGCACGCCTGTCTTTTCTGCTGCCCACATGTCAGGCTTGCTGGACAACAGACAGAAAAGGCCAACGGCACACAAAGACCCAACGACCCAACCAACTGCTTACGCCTTCAGCATTTCACTGCATGGCTGTTTATCAAGCAGTTGCAGAGGGTTGATCCAACCGAAGAGCCGCCAAGTTACTGTTTGAACTGCCGGAAATTATTCACTAAAAAGACGGCCCTGACAACGGCGATGCTTTACACATGTGCTTTCTTAGGTTTTTCTCGAGACGGGGACCATGCTGAGCGGGGAGGGCATGCGCCGCTCTGTAAGGCTAGTCTGCTTGGTGGATTGCTCCCGCTCCATTGATAGTCTTGGACCCTGGACATCATATATGAAGGCTTGTCCTACACCTTTTTGAATGGTGTTCGCCTTGATCGATTAGACACCGAGCTCCGTCGTTCCGAAACACACGGCAATGGCAATATCTTTGTTCCTTCTCACGCGCACAGTCGGTGACTTAACACCTAACATTGACAAGCACCCAGCCGAGCATGGCCCCATCGGCTTGCAAAAAGCAGGCCTTTCAACTTTTGCGACTCGGTTGTGAACACGGCTTCAGCTCAAAGATTTGAGGATGACCTGCTTCCCTATGTTGAAGCAAGAGTAAGACAAATGAACACAAAAGATGTGCTTTGCATCACAGACCACAGCAAGGAGCATGCAAGCCGTTGCCAATGCAACATCACCTCCTGAAGTCTCCAGTCTCTCTCTATCCCTTTGAACATGAGTTGATAGAGCTATGTGTGATTCGGGCACGAGCCTGTGCCCAGGCAATGGGTAAGTTGGGGTAAACAAGCCACAAAAGAAAGGTTCCCCAAAAGCAAACCAATCCCCGGTCCCAAAGATCAGGGTTTCCCACACACCAGAGAACAACAACCAAAAGGAAACAAACCAAACAAGAAAAGGGTTAACCCGCAACCTTGGTCGACAACAGGCCGCACGACTGGTCCCTACCAACCTGGCGGCGGCCCGAGGTCTCTTTCTCCCCCGAGATGCCGTCGGTCGACGCAGGGGTTCGGCGACGCCCATTCGAGGCGCGACGGAACCCAAAACTTGAGCCAAAACACCACAGGTCGGTCACTAACGCGACGTCCCTGATGATGATATGAACCATGGCTAATCACACCCCCCTCACGAGGAGCCCGTCATATGACGGGTGGAGCGTGCCATTTACTGATAGGATTTAACTGCTCGCATGCGTCCGCAAACAGCTGGACACTACCGCCGTCAGCGGTGGAGCAAACCCACAAAGGCAGTTGCGCGACATCCCGGGCATTAAATTCCCGCCACCACCCCGAATTAATCGGGGTAACGCTGTCCAACATACCTTGTGGAAAAGTCCACATGACGACATAGGTCACAACTGTTTGCATCAGAAATGCAAGAAGTTTAATTCTTATCAGAAGCCATGAAATAAAAGATAACGTATGTCCATTAGTACCCTCGCCTAACGGCAAGAGGTACTCCTGACCATGCGTACCTGAAAAATGCCTGAATTCCGCAAACCCGGGAGTAACCCCCCATCAGTTTGCTTTCCCTCTCACTCATACTGCTTCCGGATGAGCACGTCCAGCAGCTCAGCAGCGGTACGGGAGAGACATGACCTCCGCGCCTCAGCGGTCCGGGAGGAACATCACCACCTCCGCACCGCGCCGACCATTGGAGAACGGACGCAAGCCTATCGGCCGCAATCCTCGTGACTCAGCCTACCGGCTATCGTCACGTCTCCTCCGGTCACGTCCGCCCCGCGCACGGTCCCTATCACGATCCCTTTCGGATCTCCTGCGATCATCTCGCCTTCGATCCCGCTCCCGATCGAGTGAATCATCATCACGACGATCACGAGCATCGTCCCTCCTCCTGTCGCGATCATCCTCGCGCCGCGGACGATATCTGCGCCTCCTCGACTCTCTGGAATCCCTGGTGTCCACGGTCCTAACGGACCTCCGAGAAGGAGTACGGGAAACATCCGACTCCCTACGCCTCCTCCCAGATTGAGAGTTCGTCACGATCTGGTTGAGAGCTTCCAGTGCCGACGCGTCCTCACCATTTCTGATGAAATCCCTAACCTGCTTGTTCAGCACTCTGTTGGTGGAGATCGTCAAGAAAGCGTCCACCACCGAACTCTCAGGCAGCACCAGGAAGTGACCCTCCACCGGGCTCGCCGCGGCCCGCTCAGCAGACTGCAGCCGGATCTCCCCGCCTTCAGGCTTCTTTGCCATCGCCTTGGAGGCCGTCAAAGGCGCTACCGCATCCTTTGCCGAAGATCTGCCAAGCGCGGAGTGAAGATCATCCCCGCTAGCTTCTCTCGCTGCCGCACCTGGTCTGCTGTCGACGTCGCCAGGCCTCGTGGATGCCTCCCGCTTTGTCGACTCCTTCGCAGCCTCGTCGGGATCCCAACGGGACTTCCTTTCTCTCTTCTGCCCTTCGGCCGACCCGCGGCTACCGCCGGGAGCGTCACCTCCGCCTGTCTTCTCCTTCTTGACCTCAACCTTCGGTTCGGCCTGCTTCGTCTCCTTAGCCACAGCTTTTGGAGCCGGAGCACTCCTCGCCTCAGATGCCGAAGCAGCCTTCCCTTTCGGCTCTGCCTTAGGAACCGGGGTCACTTTAGCCTTGGCACTCGGCCTGGCCCCTTCAACCACCATCTC